TCGCCGACCCAAGTTTTACATAGGAATATATAGGAAAAAACTTTAAAAATCTTCTTCTCCAGAACCACTGGACCAGGAAAGATGAAACTCATGTGGAATCATCCTCAGGTAGTGCAGATTCAAGTTTGTTCAAATCATGACCCCCGGGGCAAGGGTGGGGCCAAAATGGCCGACCCAAGTTTTACATAGGAATATATAGGAAAAATCTTTATAAAATCTTCTTCTCCAGAACCACTGGGCCAGGAAAGATGAAACTCATGTGAAATCATCCTCAGGTAGTGTAAATTCAAGTTTGTTCAAATCATGACCCCCGGGGCAAGGGTGGGGCCAAAATGGCCGACCCAAGTTTTACATAGGAATACATAGGAAAAATCTTTATAAAATCTTCTTCTCCAGAACCACTGGGCCAGGAAAGATGAAACTCATGTGGAATCATCCTCAGGTAGTGCAGATTCAATTTTGTTCAAATCATGACCCCCTGGGCAAGGGTGGGGCCAAAATGGCCGACCCAAGTTTTACATAGGAATATATAGGAAAAATCTTTAAAAATCTTCTCCTCAAGAACAACTGGGCCAGGAAAGATGAAACTCATGTGGAATTATGCTCAGGTATTGCAGATTCAAGTTTGTTAAAATCATGACCCCCAGGGCTAGGGCGGGGCCAAAATGGCCGACCCATTTTTCACATAGGGATATATAGGGAAACCTTTTAAAATCTTCTTCTCCAGAACCACTGGGCCAGGAAAGATGAAACTCATGTGGAATCATCCTCAGGTAGTGCAAATTCAAGTTTGTTCAAATCATGACTCCCGGGGCAAGGGTGGGGCCAAAATGGCTGACCCAAGTTTTACATAGGAATACATAGGAAAAATCTTTAAAAATTTTCTTCTCAAGAACCACTGGGCCAGGAAAGATGAAACTCATGTGGAATCATCCTCAGGTAGTGCAGATTCAAGTTTGTTCAAATCATGACCCCCGGGGCTAGGGTGGGGCCAAAATGGCCGACCCATGTTTTACATAGGGATATATAGGGAAACCTTTTAAAATCTTCTTTTCAAGTACTTCAAAGCTATGATTAGTGATATTTATATGAAATCATCCTCTGGTAGTGTAGATTCTAGTTTGTTCAAATGATGAATGCCTGGAGGGGGGGGGGAGTAAATTCTAGCCCGATGTGCTCAGGTGAGCGCTGTGGCCCCTGGGCCTCTTGTTGAATGGGGGATAAAAATGTCAAGTGCCTGTAGATTATGTCTCTAAGTTAATTTGATACGCAAGAGCATATTCTACTCACGTCCAATATTAAGAATTATGCAAGCTATTGACAAACAAATTGATGAAACAACCGCAGTAATATCGGTCCAAATATCAACACAAAGGGGTCACTTTAACAGGCGTCTGCCTGTCTGTCTGTCCGTTTGTCTGTCCGTCTGTCACACCTTGTATCTTAAGAACTGTTAAAAATATGTCCTTGCTATTTCGCATTATGTAGCGGCAGAACTGTATTAGTTCTCTGCTTGAGAAAATTAGGACAGATAAAGCAGAGAGCTACGGATCCAAGCGTTGTAAAAACCTTCGATTTACGCCGACGATATTTTGTCGTTCACTTCGGGTATTTTTCTTGTATTTTATACTTTTCTCAGTTTTAACAATGGCATTTGATAATTCATCATAATTTTAACTTCAATACCTGATAATTTACTTACCTTTCAACGCTAACAAATGGCTGTTTGTGGTAACTGACGTCAAAATAGAACTATTTTAACCGACATTACAAAACAATTCATAGGACTGTTTTGAACCGTTAAAAGCTCTGCTTTATCTGTCTGAATTTCTCAAGCAGGGAGCTATAGTTCCACAGCTAGGCACAATGGCATTTGTACATTGCCATGATTACCGACCTCGTGACCCTTGACCTTGTCATTTAACCTACTTTACTAATAACTGCAAATAGGACTTGCATGTCTACTTTTTGTGTCACCTGTGGAACAGAGCGGCACTAAAGGGTCATTTTAACCGGCCTCTGTCTTTTTGTCCGCATCTGTCTAGCTGTCTGTCTGTCCATCTGTCATACCTTGTATCTCAAGAACTGAAAGAGATATGGACTTGATATTTTGCACATTTATTGCTTGGCACTATGGCATTGGTGAATTGCCATGGTTACCGAAATCGTGACCCTTGACCTTGTCCTTCGACCTAATCTACTAAAAAGTTAAAAGTGCCACTATAAAGCATATTTTTGACATTCAAGAGGTAATTCTATGCTACTTAGCATGTACACTCAGTATGATTATCATAAAACTATGAAAAATATCAGCCTTACAATTCATTTGACCTTGGCCTCAAACTAACTTTACCAAGTATAACCCGGAAAATTCAATAAAACTGAAGACTTCTGAATTTTGAGTTGCGGGTGTTGATAATTAACATTTGTACATGTTTATGAGCTTATTATGTTTGTTCTTTGAAACTGTATGAAATTCAGTAACCACACAAACTGATATTTAACTAGAGGTACTGTGAGTACTTAGCTAACTAAATGATGCCAGCGCCCCCATATGATTATAATGGCAAAATGCATGTTTGCTTATACATGTAAACAACTCGGACGGGAAAAGGGAAGTAACTCTAAAATAAACCTAAGACGAAATATGAATATTAGTATAATGTCAGTGTCCATGGTTTGCGATGAGAAACCCAAAATATGTGTCGGATCAAAAAGTAAAATAATAGGTGCACAATGGCAATATGTAATAAAGATTTTGTGAAAGTTTCATCAAATTTTATTCAGTTGTATGAGAGGAGTTGCGGATAAAAGATGGATACCACAAAGCGTAACAGACGGACGTACGGACGGACAGCTAGACGGACGGACGGACATCCCAATTACTATATACCCTCCTGCTTTTCAAGCGGGGAGTATAAATATTGTGAAAATACTTGGGGATTGAGATCACACAACGGATCGTGCAGAGTGACAATTGTTATGTAGACTTTGAAACACTTATATTTTAATTATTAACACATATGTGAAATGATAATTATCATTTATAATGATTTCAACTTAACTATTATTCATTTTAGGGTCGGGAATCATATTTTTTGATAGACAGACTCAATCGCAGTCTTACCGGGTATATTATGTATGAATGTTTCCTGTGCATTTATGAACTATCATGCCAGATTTTTTGCATTAAATACTGTATGTGTGCTAGTAGCATACATGTATAAATAGCTGAGCACTCATGAATTTAGTTACATCTTTAAAGATGCTTAAAGCAGGCGACACATACGTTCATTGGAACACTCCTTTCCATACTTATTGTTCTAATATTATTTACACACTAAACTCTCTACGAATGTTCCCTTTTTTCGATCATGACAAGGAGCACACGGCGAGTGATGCTTACTCCTCAATGACACCTGATCCCACTTCTGATGTTTGATATGTCCGTGTTTGATATGTTTCTGATTTTTGTTGTTAGAATGAGACTTTTGGGTTTGAATATATTGTTCGTTATCTACATATTTCTCAAAAACGGCGTAGTATATGTACCTATATACGTATGTCATACGTTAAAGACTGGAGCGCTATACTCAGTTCAGTAATTGCAATTCGTTGGCTCACGGCGGTAACTAAGTGTTGCAAACAAAAGGGGTTCAAAAACAATTCAGAAAGTAAGGCAACATATGCTTTCCGCTTATTAATTTGGTCCTGATTTTTATAAAGAAGGCTAGAAATAACTTATAGTTCTAAATTTGGTCCAGCATAGATTTTTAACCTAATTCGAATATGCTGAATCCGAAAAAAATATGCTGGCCTTCATGAAAATGGCGTTAAAGAGGTCAAAATGGCGAATCAAAATGGCGGACATCCATTTTTTCTAATTTTCTCTTAATGTCGTTCAAAATGGACTCCACATCGATCTGGGCTTTAAATTTTTTTGTCAAACTGTTTTTTTTTTCTTTTGAAAACCTTACATAACTCGTAAAATAACTAACATGTAGACAATGTACCTCGCATGCTAAATGTCATGCAACCAGTCTCAGGGTAAACATACATACCTCTTAAAATTCAACAGCCAAAATTTAACCTAGAGAAGTATGATCTCATATTTTATGTAGATACTTCCTAAAACACGTCATAATTAAATCAAAACTTATAAAAATTGAAAATTTTCATTTGCCAGGAGAATTTTTGAAGATTTTCGCTGGAAAAAAACATCAAATTGATGTTGAATCTGTCCAGGTCCTTAAAAAAATCGCAGAATACCGTAATTTGTAAAAATTTACAAAACCTAAACCGTTTAAGTGCCATTTAATCTTTAAAATTATTTAGATTTGATATCTGTCTTTTGTTAGCAAAATAATAGCTACGCTATAGGTTCTATATGACGTCACAATACAAGTCGTCATAAAACGTCACAATACAAGTTTGTCATAAAACGTCACAATACAAATCGTCATAAAACGTCACAATACTCCAAAGCAAGTTTGTTTGTGAAAGATTTCTAGTGAGTTCAACAAAATCAAAATGCTGGACAGCATTAAAAGGACTCTGGTAAGAAATAAATCTTGTTTGTACGCAGTATGCACTTGACATTTATAAGAATGTATGAGGACGATATAAAATGTTTTCGTAATGTTGACGAACTTTTTTGTTGTTGTCGGGAAGGGATGGATGTTTATATAGAGGACTATTGGAACAAAATACAAATGGCTATTCGGAAAATGCTTAATTAACTTTTCGAAAAGATTATCCGAAGGTTATCCATCCATTTCCATGAAATTTATGTTCAAGTTTGATAAAGTACTTGTCCCTGCATGGGCAAGGGAGAGCTCTGTGACAATTTATATAAGCTATAGATAGCCTAAGGCTTTATATGCAGATAAATAGGAAAATCTTTAAAAAAAAACAGAAATGTGAGGTTAACAATGGGTAATGGCTAGGAGTTTTCCTTGAAAACTGTTCCGGTACACCTCATTGTAATTACATGTACCTTCTTCAGTTACAATTTGTATAAAAAAAATAATTTCTTTTTAAATTTTTCTTTCAGCTTGTGGAAGAGAAATATGTACGAATATTTGAGAAAGTTTTAGAGGAATTCATGAAGGTTCTAGATATGGTAATATTTAATGTATTGTAATTTAATTTAATTTTAACAGCATGTGAAAACTGAGTCTGTAGAAATCAATTTATTGCAAAAAAGAGAAAACATTATTATGTAGAACATGTATACATGTACATGTATATCAAATTGATTTTGAACAGTCTTATAACATATAATAATCATATTAAATTGCCTTATACAAAATTTAACGGTTGTTGTACATGTTTTAATTAGTAGCATGCATATATAATTTATTTCCTTATTTAGCTGAAGCAAGAAACATTTGTGAGCGAGGGGACTGGCTTGCAGACTTTTACAAAGGTTTGTAAATAATGTTTTAAATATATTGGTAATACAATCATACAAATTTATGTCATTAGTCCAAACTATATTTATTGTAATCAATTACATGTAAATTTTTCATAGCATATTAAATCTGGCCTTCATTTACTGTTTTCATATATAGTCATTCTTGATGCAAGTGTTCGAAGAAGAGAAAGGAAAACTCGAAAAGGACATTGCAGAGGATATATGCTTTAAGGCAGCACACATAATACTGGTAAGTATTTATAAACAAAAGAAGAGAAAGTGTATCTAGATAATGTATGAAGTATTTTATGTAACTCTGTCATTTACTTAAAATTAAATAATTTAAGTATATTTTTGCGCTTGCCGAACTACATCCGTTAATCACATTTGTGGAAGATTTATTTTTGTAGTGCAATCTTTTTGCTGTATACTTACAGTTTTTTTTATATTTCTTGTACTGTAAATCACTTTTTATTCGCGAGAACTTTATTTTCGCGTAAATACGCGAGACGGTATGCTCGCGAAAATTTTATTCTCGCTTATAAAAGAATTCCTTTAGATTATATAGAGCAATGACCACAATTCGTGAAAATTTTGTTTCTCTAATAGAGTCAATGAATATCTCGCGAAAATAAGATGTCGCGAAAATTAAGTGATCTACAGTATCTAAAAGTATGGTACAGATCTAGAGCCATTTATGATGGATACATTTGACCCTCGTCAGGTACATATCAAAGCAGTGGTAAGTAAAAATAATTTAAGTTCTTTTTTAATTCGAATTTGAAATTATATGTTGCTGGCTTATATGCATCTAAATCTTTTTCATTAAATTTGATACAAAAATAGGATACACATAATTAATGCTTAGGCACTTTTATCCTATTTTCTCTTTCTGGACTTTTTTTTCTTAGCAATAACCAATATTTCAGAGTGTTTGATTACTATTATTGCTATCTTTCCTGTGTATTAGATATGTATCACATGGTACAAAAGAAAATAAATTAATGTTAATTAAGTTAATATTCAATCAGATATATCCATTTAGGTCATATATATGAGAACTAATTATATGTTCAAAAACCTTACTGGTCTTTTATAATTTTTCTCAATTTCTGGTAATTCAAATCCAATCAACCAAACATAATGAAGAATTAAGACACTGTGTTGAAAAAATAAATCTGTTTATCTTTTCTAGATTTTCCTCAAAAGTGTCAAAAAGAGATTTGAAGACGAACTCAAGAAACATCCAGACATATAATTGTTCATCTTTAATGAAATGATGGTAATTAGTATATATGTGTTAATCTGATTGTATTCTCATTTCCGAAAATAAAAAGTACCCATAACCTTGTTAATTTCTAATTTCTTACCTCCTTCAAAATGTGATCATGTTTCCCTTTATTTTAACAATACGTTATTTGTAATATTACTTTAATTTAATTTCATTACATTTATTTTGGTAAATGTTCTTTACAGATGGAGGAAGGAGGCATGGACAAGAAAAAAGAGGTAAATTTTATTTAAAATTTCTCCCGAAACACTGTGTATTTGAAATTGTTTAAATAATAAGTTTTTACAATATTCATTGTTAAACAAATGTTGTTCATGTTTTTTCAAATAAAACCTGAACATCATGAATTAATTGTTTTAAAGAAAAAGGTTTTACAATATGTATTTACTAGATAAATGTTTTTAATAAAATGTCTCTTACAGGCAAAAGAAAGCACTGATAAGAAAATCGAAGTAAGTTTAAACATTTAAACCTGACTTTTTAAAATGCATGAATACTTATATGTTGATGGGTTATAGTACCACCTCATCTAGAGTAATGTCTACCCAATACACAGTATTAACTCCTCAACATGTATTGGATTATATGTTTTAGATTAAAATTAAACTTTCCCTTTAGACAGACTTGAGGGTATTTTTAAAAATATGTACAGTTCTTTGTTTTTGTATTTTAATCTCACCTGAGCATTAACAATTGTTCTATTCTGAGTAAAGAGTGCTTGCTACTAGTATACATACATGTATACATCTGCCTGTCATGAGCTGTATGTAAACTTTTCAAATTATAGAACTACATGGTCAATTTCAATCAAATTTGTTCTAAAGAAAGGCCAAATATATCCCATTCTAAGTGGAAATGATTTGAACAAAAATCTTACATTGAATTTTAGCATCTCTGACTATATAGTTTGGTGATCCTAAAAAAGATATATGTTTATATATACGTTTAGATTCTGATTTTATTTATTCTTTATTAGGAAGCAGCAATTACCCTTCAATCTTTCATGCGTCAATCTATCGACCAAAAGAGGTATGGGAAAATCAAGAAGTCAGCACGGATAATACAGAGTCAATATAGAACATGTCATGCCAGGAAAGAGACCCAAAAGAAATACCATGCAATGAAAGCAGCAGCTGTAACCATGCAGGCCTGTTATAGAGGAAAGCGGGCCAGAGACACCTACCAAAGAATGAGAAAGTCTACTATACTGCTTCAGGCTGCATACAAAGGGTGGCTAGTCAGAAAGCAGCTAAAGGAACGCCGTGCCCTCATAAAACAGGTAGATGGGACAATTTATTCAAGGAAAATTTTATTTTAAAAGCAGCATTATTAAATTCTGATGATTACAAGATGTGTTCATAAAACACTGATGCTGCGGTGTGGTAGCTAATGGCAAGGGTTGAAGTGTCTTAAATGCAAGACAAACTCCAAATGTAAAGTTCAAAATGTCAAAAATATGCACCTGACTTTGTGAAGCCAAGAAAAAACTTTGAAAAGCCCTCTTAAACCTACATGGTAGGTGGGACCATTTTCTTTTTGAAAAAGAAATCATTTTAAATATAGCATGATCAAATTCTGATGATAAATAAAGAAAGCAGGCAGCTGACAAAATACAGGTAACATATATCAAATATACCCAGGGTTGTTTATTAAGACCTGGAATAGAAGAATTTCCTCACCTTGGCACCTATAGTGAAATAATTTCCTTTCTAATTGTTTTGGTATTGCCCCTTTAGTCCCTGATAGGGAAAGAATACCTTGTATTTGCTTGTTTGGAATAATCAACATTTTTACCTTTTAGATTTACTTAGAATACAGTTATATTTCCTTCCTTTATTGACTTTAAGCAGATCACTGCACGAATTTGAAATTCTTGAAATCTATATGTACAATTTGGTGACCAAATTAAGAAATATTTATATACTTGAACATGTACTTAGTTTGATGACTTGTTTGTCACTGTGGCCCATATAACCTTCTGAAAATTAATAACATGTAGAATTTTATGTAACGCATTGAATATTTTTATTTTAGACTTTGATCAATCTATTTTTTATTTTAGGAAGCAGCAATTACCATTCAATCTTTTTTGCGTCAATGTATCGACCAAAAAAGGTATGTGAAAATCAAGAAGTCAGCGCGGATAATACAGAGCCGATATAGAGCATGTCGTGCCAGGAAGGAGACCCAAAAGAAATACCATGCAATGAAATCAGCAGCTGTGACCATGCAGGCCTGTTATAGAGGAAAGCGGGCCAGAGACACCTACCAAAAAATCAGAAAGTCTACTATACTGCTTCAGGCTAAATGCAAAGGGTGGCTAGTCAGAAAGCACTTAAAAGAACGCCGTGCCCTCATAAAAGAGGTATATGAAACAATTAATTCATGGAAAATTTTATTATTTTAGAAACAGCATTTAAATACTGATGATAACAAGATATGTTTCTGAAACTCTGATGCTGCAGTATGGTAGCTAATGACAAGGGTTGTAGTCTCTTAGATGCACATCATTATATCCAAAGGTAAAGGTCAAAATGTCAAAAATATGCATCACTTTGTGAAGACAAGAAACAACTTTGCAGTGCCATCATAAAACTGCTAGATGGGACCGTTTTTTTTATGGAAAAAAGATGTGCATGTTTGTGAACTAATGATGTCCCCCATGTGGCAACATGGCAAAAATTAAACGTAAATGCAAATTTAATATATTAATTTGTACCCAAAGTAGGGTATTCTTACTAGAAATACAACTGACCTTTGAAAGTCGGCCAAGGTTTAAGTTTTTTTCATCATTTCGGAAATCTCTAAGGTAAAGGTCAAAAGGTCAAGGTAATTGGTATCCAATTAAAGATCTTCTTGCAAGGATATGAAAAGTATGAAAGCACTAGCCCTAACCATTTTAAAGTTAGATAAGATAAGACAAGATCAGATAATATTTATTTAAAGTCGGGTACATCAAACAAAGAACATTGGCTCAGAAGAACTATTTTCCGACTACAATGTTATGTTCAAGGTTTGTTTTTAAAAGTAGATCAAATTCCAAAGTCAAAGGGTCAAAGTTCCTGGTATCCAATGAAGGGTCTTCTCACAAGGATTACATAATTATGTGAAGTATGAAAGCAATAGCTCTTAGCCTTCAAAGTTAAGTCCAAGGTTAAAGTTTTTTTCATAAGTACGGAAATCTCCAAGATCAGGGTCAAAATGTCTAGGTTGTTGGTATTCAATGAAATGTCTTTCCACGAAAAAAAACATATATGAAGTATAAAAGTCCTGGTATCTACTGTTCAAAAGACATGGCCAAAGTAAAAGTTTCGAATTTTTGTGTAAAAGTGGGTCAAACTCCAAGGCCAAATTTGTTGGTACCCAAAGAAAGGCCTTGTCACAAGGAATACACATGTCAAATATGAAAGTCTAAGCTCGACTAAATCAAAAGCTATGGGCAAGGTTAAAGTTTTTGCGAACAAACAGACAGACAGACACGACAAAAATTATATGACCCACCCACCCCCGAAACTTAGTTTACAGGGGAATCAAAATCATTTTAAAAATAGCATGATCAAATTCTGATGATAAAAAAGAAAACAAACAGCTGCCAAAATACAGGTAACAAATATCAATTTTACCCAGGGCTGTCCCTAAGACCTTAGGTCTGGAGAATTTTCCCACCTTACATGTAGCAACTATGGTGAAATAATTTCCTTTCTAATAGCCCCTCAAGTCCCCAATAGGGGAAGAATACTGTAAACGTATTACAATTGGCTGAGTATTCTTTTAAGCAGCTTTGGCGGAACGCCGCAACCGCTTAATCAAATACAAAGCTACACGTTTTGCTTATATATACATAAATAAGAATTGCAAGAAATGCGCTAAATCAAATCTAGGCTAACTTATTTAAAAACTAATTTCCACCAAATATTGTACACACTAAATAAAATATATTTACAGTATATGCATGTTTGGAATAATCAACATTTTTACCTTTTAGATTTCCTGAAAACAATTATAATTCCTTCCTTTATTACTTTGATTTAAGGTTCATAAACCCTCTCTGCTCACTCATATGAAATTTTTCTTAAACTTTTATGATTTTCCAAAAGAAATGTATATGCTGAATAATATACAAACAATTATAGCATGGCTTGCTGGGTAAAATTTGACAAAAAAGGCACTTAAACTTGACAAATTTATAAATGAATAATAGACATTTGTGTCATTAAGAGTTATCTCTCATCAGAATATCAGTGTACCTAACAGCAGTTTACTGAATCATGAATTTCAAATTCTTGAAATCTTTAACTACACTTTGGTGTCCAAAATAAAAAGAAACCAATATATACATGTATGTAATTTGATGGCTGATAATGTTTGTCACTGTGGCCTATATAACTCCTGAAAATTATAATTACTTGTAGTAATTCACAGCATTGAATACAGTGTACTTAATTTTAGATTTTTATCAATCTATTTTTTAATAGGAAGCAGCAATTACCGTTCAATCTTTCATGCGCCAATGTATCGACCAAAAGAGGTATGGGAAAATCAAGAAGTCAGCGCGGCTAATACAGAGCCGATATAGAGCATGTCATGCCAGGAAAGAGACCCAAAAGAAATACCTTGATATGAAAGCAGCAGCTGTAACCATGCAGGCCTGTTATAGAGGAAAGCGGGCCAGAGACACCTACCAAAAAATCAGAAAGTCTACTATACTGCTTCAGGCTGAATGCAAAGGGTGGCTAGTCAGAAAGCACTTAAAAGAACGCCGTGCCCTCATAAAACAGGTAGATTGGACAAACTATTTATGGAAAATTTTATTTAAAAAAAAGGCAGCCAAAAACAGATAACAAATATCAAATATATCCAAAAGACCAAAGGTGTTGAGAATTTACCCATATATAATTCCCTGGCTATTCTGGTATCCCCCTCAAACCCTTGTAAGGGGAGGAACTCCAAACCCCTTTCTTTTTTAATGTCCCCTGCAATTTCAATTGCTAGGAACAAGTTGTATACCAATTGTTATTTTATTATATAAGTAATACATGTACCTGTAGATATTAAAGCTTGGATGGCGGTACCTTATGTAGATGTAATAAAGTCCCTTTCCATTCAGTGTGTCACAGTAACATTATGTTCCTCCTAAAAGCAGACTTATTAGTACAAAAATGAAAGACACATTCACTGAGAAAATGGCAAGGTCAAAATGAAAGTCCTTCCACATTTATGTAAGGCAAAACCAATGGTATTTATTTTCTTAACCTTAGTATGTACTTCATTTTTTACTTGGTGAATGATAGTTTACAGATTTTGAGTTACCTGCATGATCAAAAGTCACTATCAAGTGTGAAAAAAAATTACCCCCCCCCTCTTGCAAGAGAAATTATTTTAGGGCATAGAGAAATTACTTTGTCATTCTGTCCTAGAAGCTAGATCTCTTCTTTCCAAAAATCACTGGGAAGTCCTACAAAAATTGCACAAAATGCAAATGAAAGACCTATGGGTATGGATTATTTTTTTTTTGTAAATCTTATTTCATTTCTTAACTTTCAGGAGAAAGAGATGATTGACACAAAGATGGGAAAACCAAAGAAACTGGGTGTATGTTTTATATTATTAATTTCTTTTAAGGACAGATGATACAAACAAAAAATGGATGCCTGGATTGGTATACATTTTTTGGCCTAATTTCATTGGAAATGATGCAAATAATAAACTTTTAATTATGAAATTGTAAACCTTTTGTGATGCTCAAAAGTCTGCCCATCTGAAACTATCCTTATTATTCTATACAAATAGTTTTCACTTGAAATTCCATTTTTGTGAAAATTTGATAAAAATTAACAACTGTGCAGTGAAAGTTATTAAGGTCTTCCGTTTCCAACGGAAGACCTTCTACTGATTCTGTTGGTAAAGATTATTATTCTTTTTTTTTTTCTTCTACTTCCTAGACGCAAACTTTAAGGCCTCATATCTCACTCATTTCTCAACGGATTTCGCTCAGATTTTCAGAGGTTATAGACGTTTATAAACTCTATCAGAATTATGACTAAAATTTCAAAAAGTCACTTCCGGTTTTGAGTTATTCCAATTTAAACGAAAAATCATTGGCTTTCGTTTCCAGATAAAGGCTCAGACACTCTAATTAGAACACCTAAAAGAGCGAAAATTTACAGATATTTTCCTTTTTATCTTGAAAACTAAAAATATTTTGTTAAAACATGTTGAATAAAAGTTGTGCATAATTACAAGCGCTTTCATTTGATATCATTAAAAAAGGGGCTGGCCCCTAAAATTAGGGATCTAGGGCCCTTGAAAGTTTTTGTTTAATATCTCAAAAAGTATTGAGAATTTATAATACGTCAAAGAAGCAAAGTTGTTCAAAATGTCAAGCTTTATCTAATGAGGTTGTCAAAATACGTCCAGGGACGTCACTTCCGGTCAAACCGGAAGTAGTCAAAATTTGCATATTTTTGTTGTTCTTGACAGGTTTTTGGATATCATATGTCACTGGAAGCTTAAATATTACTTTTCCGTCCGTTGACGGTACTTCCGGTCAAACCGGAAGTTGCCAAAAATGGCTTTATTTTGCAAAAATGAACATAGATTTGGAGGATTAAATCATTTTTCGACTTCATTACTCTTTTTTTTCAAATAAAAGTTACTTCCGGTCAAACAGGACGGAAGACCTATTCGTTGCTTTGCAACGAGCTCGGCTCTAGTTCATTTTACTCATTCAAACATGACCCAGTTTGTTATTTTCACATTTTTTGACAAAAGTTTGTTTGTATCATCTGTCCTTAATTGGAAGTTGTTAATTGAATTTGTTCATAAGCATGCAAGTTCTTCTTTACAATTTAAAAATGAAGCAGACAGTAATTATTAATTTTAAATATCTGTCTCACACAAAATGCTTTCATCGTTAATCAAAAAGGCCAATCATGTTTTCTTCATCACTCAAATAGGAACACTAAGAACTCAATCTACAAATATATAGAATTTTGTTTTATCAGTATGTTGTCTGAATGTTAAAGGTACATAACTTTTTAAAATTCTCCAAAGAAGTAGAAAGTTGATTAGTAAATTTTTTTTTAAAATAGCTATCTAATTTAACTATGATATAACCAATAAAACCATATTTAGAGTATCTCTAGCATCTGTACATTGTTTTTCAGTAAACTAATTGGACCTGTCAATATGATTTAATTATGAGTTTTGCATTTCAGAAAATGAAAAGATTCCGAAAATGGTTACGAAGAACCTTCTCCTGCTCAAGTTCAATGTAAGTGACTTCATTACATTTCATTTATTGCAATTCATTCATTGTGAGATTTTTTTCCACTGCAGTGTAATCACAATTCCTTTTCTTCAGTCTTCGTTTATCTAAATATGGAAAGTTGGTGATCATAAACAAGTGAAAATTAATCTAAAAATATTAATATGATTTTAAAACAGAAAAATGAGTGTTCTTGAAAATATATATTAATCCAAATATTGCATGGAAATTAAAGCAAGACAGTGTGTCAGGCTTGTGTACAATAAGTCATTTTCTAGTTCAATATTGGACTTTAACATGTTTAAATCAATGTTAACTGTTTTAGTAATTTAACACCTTAAATCTATAAACCCTGCTCAATTTAAGTTATATACTGCCTTATGCAAAATTGCTAAGCTTGATATATGTTATCAATTTCAAACAGAGATAACAACTAATATTGAGATTAATTGAAGAAATTTGGAAATACACATCAAATCAAATTAATAGATAAATGTGACATGAACTCCTCTTGTTTTGCAAGAAGAGGGGATATGTTCATAAAGAATAATGTTCGGTTTAATAGATTAAGAGTCCTCTTTCCAACCCTCAATCTCAGAATTTCCTTTTCCTTTGTTCTCTTCTTTCTTATGTATGGCATGTTAAATATGTCATTTTTTTATTTTTCCTTTTCAGATAAGAAGTGGATTGTCTTTCAAGAACTAATTTCAAAACATTAATTATCTTTCTGTAAAATAAATTTAAATATTACTGGATAACTTCTCTTCATCAAGGAATATTTGGGGCCCAGGAGGGGACACCCGAGCTATTTTTACAGGTTTGTTTGGCTGATAATTAACTTTTTTTCATTTGATTCTTTGTTCTAAATTTATATAATGTGGGCCTCATATACAAGAGGCTTGCATTGCAAAACTGACTTATTCTAAATTTTATTTTTGGCTTTTCTTTCTGGTAACAAAGCGAGGGAGACAGATCGCTTGCTGAGTTACCAGAGCAAAATTACTTCAATGATTTAGAAACTTTAGGTCTTTCAGGGAAACCCATTTTAACCAGGGTTTCCCTATCTTTTAAAAAGCATAAAATTGTAAGTACATCCATTTAGAGATGTTGAAAGCTCCGTTGTCCTCTCCTGTCTAAAGTCTGCTTATAATTTTAATTACCTATAGTTAATTATCTTAATTTTATTTAAATCTGTCCATCAAATTCATGTGCTAAGAGTTTCAATATTTTGTACATTTTTGAAAAATAAACCTATATTTGCACACTTATTATTGACTTATAGTTGTTAAGGTCAATTGAACCACTCCGTGCTGAAATCGGACGCAATATTGTTGTGTACAAGGGTATACAAGAAATCTCATATAGACCCAGTTTATAAAGTGAAAGCCCCTTGTATGGTAGCATTTGATGAAGGTCACAGCTTTTCAGATACAAGTCAAACTCTTAGGTCAAGAGATCAATAATGTTGTTAGCTGAATATAGGACTTGTGTCAATAGTTATACATGTGAAATATTAAAGCAACAAACTTTCAAAAGTTATAGTCAAGACTAATCTTTTTTAAAATGTGGTTCAAACTCATGGGTCAAGGTCAAATTGACATTTCACGCATTCTCAATTTATAGTCACAAATCGATCTTGGGAAAAGTCAAAAAAATTAGTGAACTGAAATTAACACTTTTATACGTCATTTGAAACATGAAAATGTATAGTTATTAAAAATCGCAATTTCATTTACATACTTCATGCATTGTTTTGTTGGCCTCCTTCGAAATAAAAGCGGTTGGAGGGCTAATTTTACACGAAGATATTTACGTGATGTTGAAAAGCCATATTTGGAAACGAAAGACTTTTTTTTAAAATACAAAATTAATATAATACACATCAAATTTTGTTAACTATAAACATTTATGAAACGTTTAAGCACATTTGTAAAAGGGGTGTACAATCTTTGATTCAATTATTAGTAAAAATAAAACGGACATAATTTTCATTTAAATGAAATTATTTTCTTTTTATTTTAACAAGTTTTAGCACATTCGATGATAAGCTTAATAATGATAATATTCCCTAAAATGCTACATTAATTGATTCTTTATTAATCTGCTCAGAGAAACGCCCATTATTTAGAATATAAAAAGGTTAAATATTTCGCCATTACCTGATTACGAAGTGTTTGTTAAATATCACGTAAATATCGCACATAGATATCATACAAAAATAAAAGTATATTCGGGGGAAAAATGATTATATTATTTCAAATTATTGAATTTTATGAATTTTCTAATCTGTGTTCTTACAAAGGGTTGAATTGAAAATTCAAGTTATAAATGATTTATCTATAGAGGACTCATGTAATTCATAACATCCCCCCCTTCCACCATTTAATCTGTTGAATATTTCAAATGCAGTCATTCACATAGCATCGTTTTTGAAAGTGTATGTGTGTGTGTGTGTGGGGGGGGGGGGTAGCCAGAGAATTTTTTTACTTACCTGGAAAGTTGACAAGGCAAAAAAAAGGGGGGGGGGGGTGAGAAAACTTGCTCAAAGTCGAAAATCCTAGAGGGGGGAGCCGAACTTTTTTCAATGCCAACTACATTCAGTACCAATTATTACAATATATTTTCCGTACATCACTATTAGTGGGGGTGGGGGCAACCAGCCTTTCACTGAACATTCACTGAAGTTGAAGTAAGGCTGGAGAAAAAAAGGGGGGGCAGGGTGGGACTGCCCCCCCCCCTTGTTGCTACATACCAGAAATGCTTAATTGTTTGTGAAAACTTTATCGTTAAATCTCAAAAATAAAACAAAGATCGCCCACCACCCTTAAAAAGTTTGTCAATAATTACAGTTGCACATCACATGTGCTCTATAGAACAATATACATTCTACGTTCATATAACGTAAATTGAATTTTCAGTACCATTAAAGCATAGACGCATACCTCCTAAGTCATATGTCTATGCAACAATGCAAATGAGAAAAATTAGGTGCAAATTTTATACATGTTAATAAATGTATTTCTTGCAAAGCAACAAAAATGGAAATGGATTCAATTTCAACCAGTATCTTGACACACCCGATTTTTTACCCGATGTAGAACACCCCCCCCCCCCCCCCCCCCACTGCATGCAACGCAGCGCCTATTTTCTGGAATTATATTTCCTACAAAAATGATTTTTTTTTTCTTCAAAATATTTAGCTTGGTATACAATTCAAGTAGTATATAACCATTTTTTAAAGTTGACGATCACTATCAGTTCAAACAAACAGCAAAATACAGACTTGAAGAAAGTTTTGTTTCAGATTTACGTTCCGAATGATAACGTACATTACACTTGAAACTATGCAATATTAACCAATTGCTCAAAATGGAAAGATTCAATCATTAAACCACGATTCTACTTGTGAATAATATTATGTCAATTCAATTTTCAAATCACACGGATGCACAAGATATTGAGTAAAAATGTTCACCTTTGCATGTGCACTTCCACTTGCATTTCTGCACTCTTGTTACAGAAAAAATGACATTTTAAGAAACAGTGTATATTTCTTCATGTTCTTAGTATTTACATCATAAAGATTCACTCGCAAATCTGTTCAAACAGCTTTAGAAATTAATACTTATTTACTTTAAAACATGGTAACGTAAATATCGGTAACGTAAATATCGGTAACGTAAATATCTTTCTGAGATTTATCGTAACTTTTAATGCCATTGTTCAATTATTCCACTGTTACATGTAATTAAAGGCATATTCTAGTACTTGAGTGTAAGGCAATTTGGCCCATAGGGGACAGTGTAGTTCTCTTACTTAATTTGTGAATAAATACTAACACGTAAATATCGTTGAATTTTTTAACCATTGGACTTTTAAGAAAAGGGGGGCTATTGTTCATAAACACAGATAAACAGTGTCTTTTTTACCTTTCCATGCAATAGAAAGAGTGCTCATGATGTTTAAAAGTTACAACTTAGTCCTATTGAGTTAGTTCATCATTCCTTCCAGTCCTTTTGAATTTCCAAATAGAAAAGTAATAATTTTGCGGTGACATCAAAATTTGATAAATATATTAACATTTTCAAAAATCTGTGACACGCATATGTGTGAAGGGTGTGATATTCAGAAAATATAACTCAAATGTAGGAGAATCTTACTAAGAAAAAGATATGTTAATGATTTAAAAATTCTTTTTGGTTTAAAATAAAAACTACACGATGATCGGCGACAGTAACGTAAATATCGATTTCTGCTATAAAATGTGATTTTCTCCTAAGACAATCATTCAAGCTACAACAAACAATTGTTGTATCTTAATCAACAACCAACAAAGGTTCGTAAGACTGGCAGAAAATAAAATTTATTTGAAATATTATATTACTTAAAACGCGGTACATTATTTAAAGCGAATTGAGACTATAAATTGAGAATGCGTGATTTACAAGTAAAAAATTAATGCCCTAAAACCACCTGTTGAAAATTAATACACATGTGAAATAAGAAAATCATACAGACAAATGGTCAGGGAAAAACTAATATAACCCAAAATCTTTAATTAAGGTCAAGATCTAGTAAATGAAAGGTGCCTACAGATTTATCAAATTTAAGAAATAAATTCCCTTATTGATGCTTTACAACTTAAGCTTGGTCAAATTAGGTGTTTCGGGGCATAATTTGTAGGTAAACAAGATGAAAAACTTTATTTTAAACTGTCATTTTTAATGAAAAATTAAGAAAACCAGTCATGAATATGGGAGTTTTTTTCATGTTCGACAAAAGAAAAGTATCCAGATTGCCTACAGTCTCTCAGAAAACGGTATTTAGTATGTTCATGGCCTCTTCTGTAAATCAATATCAAATATAATATAGGTAATATCCGGTTTACTTTTCATATGATTTCAAATTGAATGTCATGATAATACTATATTTACTAAAAAATTCTGCTAAAGCCGTAAAGTACAGGAAAAAGAAAGTTGAAATTGATTATGACGTCATAATGGATTTAACACCAAAAAATTAGTCTAAAGTTATTTACTAGATCTTGACCTTAACGTAGCATAAAAAACATTGGTATGAAAAATTATCTTTTATTAAAAGTACAAAGAGATGACATACAGTCATTAAAGCAATACATTAATTGAAACAAATTCTCAGTTGTATCAAAATATAAAATTCTATCGCGTGTTCTAAAACATAACAAGTGCCCCCTACAGTTGCACAAGACTAGTGACTGACAACAGTTTTAGTGCATTAATAAACATGAGTTATAATTAACGATATAATTAAACACATTCTTTAATAATAAAAATGTTAACAAAAATATATGTGTAGATAAATATACATGCTTAGTATTTAATATATAATTTTCACCATATCAATGGAACAGAAAAAATAATACAGAACCATGATGCTTTAGCAATCATATACTTCTGTAAAACAAGAGGCCCAGGGGCCACACCGCTCACCTGAGCACATCGGGCTTGAATTTACCCCCCCCCTTTTCCAGGCGTTCATCATTTGAACAAACTAGAATCTACACTACCTGAGGATGATTCCATATAAATACCCCTGGTATCACTAATCATAGCTTTGAAGTACTTGAAAAGAAGATTTTAAAAGGTTTCCCTATATATCCCTATGTAAAACTTGGGTCGGCCATTTTGGCCCCACCCTATCCCCAGGGCCGGGGGTCATGACTTGAAAAAACTTGAGTCTACACTACCTGAGGATGGCTTCCCTATCAGTTTCATCTTTCCTGGCCCAGTGGTAATTGAGAAGGATTTTTAAAGATATTTCCTATATATTCCTATGTAAAACTTGGGTCGGCCATTTTGGCCCCATCCTTGCCCCGGGGGTCATGATTTGAACAAACTTGAATCTACACTACCCAAGGATGATTCCACATGAGTTTCATTTTTCCTGGCCCAGTGGTCCTGGAGAAGAAGATTTTTAAAGATTTTTCCTATATATTCCTATGTAAGTGGTTCTGGAGAAGAAGATTTTTAAAGATTTTTCCTATATATTCCTATGTAAAACTTGGGTCGACCATTTTGGCCCCACCCTTGCCCCTGGGGTCATGATTTGAACTAACTTGAATCTACACTACCTGAGGATGATTCCACATGAGTTTCATCTTTCCTGGCCCAGTGGTTCTGGAGAAGAAGATTTTTAAAGATTTTTCTTATATATTCTTATGAAAAACTTAGGTCGGCCATTTTGGCCCCATCCTTGTCCCAGGGGTCATGATTTGAATAAATATGAGTCTACACTACCTGAGGATGATTCCACATGAGTTTCACCTTTCCCGTCCAAGTGGTTCTTGAGAAGAAGATTTTTAAAGATTTTTCTTATATATTCCTATATAAAACTAGGGTCGGCCATTTTGGCCCCATCCTTGCCTCGGGGGTCATGATTTGAACAAAATTGAATCTACACTACCTGAGGATGATTCCACATGAGTTTCATCTTTCCTGGCCCAGTGGTTCTGGAGAAGAAGATTTTTTAAAAATGCCATTATTTTTTAACAAATTCATGATTATCTCCCCTTGGAAAAGGGCGTGGCCCTTTATTTGAACAAACTTGAATTTTCTTTACCCAAGGGTACTTAAGTTTGGTTGAAATTGGCCCAGTGGTTCTTGAGAAGAAGATGAAAATGTGAAAAGTTTACAACAACGACAACGACTACGACGACGACGACAACGACAACAACGACGGACAACGGACAAATTTTGATCAGAAAAGCTCACTTGAGCCTTCGGCTCAGGTGAGCTAATAATATGGAATATGACAATAAGTGAGAAATAGAAATTTTGATTGCAAAATACTCAACATATTCTTCCTTTCAGCAAAATATACATACTAACACCTTAGGTGCCGATTTGGTGTTCTTATTCATGTACTGGGTACATTAATCATTAAAATATAAATTTTTACAATACTTGTAACCACCATTAGCACTTATTCCTGATTGCCCAAATCTAACACATGATCTACATGTATATTGGTCTAATTTTTGAATATCTTGAAAGGACTAAAACAATAAATGCATCAAGACAATATGACTAACAAATTTTTGTGCAAAAGTTCAATGCATTTCAATGAATACTGTAGAAGTACTTTTTTCCGTGTGGTATTAATTTACGCTATGTACACGGTTACAATTTTTCTGCAGAAATTTGTCCAAGCGTACTTAATATAAATGTAATGCATTTAGTGACAGTCTAAGAAATTTGCATAATTTTCTACCCGCGGATTAAACAGAAATTGAAATTCTGCCGAATTATGACCCCCTTGAAAAAAGTACGTGTACAGTATTTAAATGTTAGTGATGTCATTTCCCTACTCAAAAAAGTAAATAAAAATACCAAAGATTTTCATACATTATGAGAGAAAAATATGTTTTTTCTAGGGATGGCAATCGATTGCAGAATTGCTAATCGGTTAACCGCAAAACGTTTCAACTGATTAACCGGTTAGTCGTATCAAGATATACATTTTGACATTTTCTTTTCATACACACAAGAAGGCTAAAAAGACATTACTTAGAAGTTACATTCTGTTTATTATTTTGATAGGAGAATTTTATGTACATAAGAGTATATTTTATTTTGATTTTAATAGACGAGAAAAAATTAAGAAAAACCATGAATCTCGTTGAGAAATCAGGCAAGGGTAATTTTCCAACGCAGATAATTTTGTATTGTCACCATAATCAGAACTATGTCTGAACTCTAACTTTGTTCAAAATTTACAATGTTTATTATAATAATAGAATTTAATAGATAACGGCAAAATATAGACATACTTTAATTAAAAGTGCCTAGCGGTGATGTTTTTAATATCATTAAAAAAAACACAGGACTATATGGGTTACGGCATAATGTTTTAAATACAGTACTATAGTAATTAACACTAAGAATTGACCAATTACCCCGCGATCTCAATCTGGAGAGCTATAATTACCTCCAAATACTCTTAATTATAAAATGTGTAAAAACACGAAATAAACATCCATGCATCGCTTTCCTTTCTAAAAAAAATTGAATTCTAAGGAAACTGCGCTCAAATTTACATATTTTTTATTTTTTCCGACTAACCGATTACGGATTTTCTAACCGATTAGCATCGTTCTGACCGATTAATCGATTAACCGGTTACAAATTGCCATCCCTAGTTTTTTCATTGGTCCCACATGAAATTGAAATGACTAATATTATATTCTGTAAGCTCTCTTATAAATCTGTGAAATGATTACAATTCAAAAATCATTTTCCTTGGAATGACGCCTATCTTTATGATTTTCAAGAGGTTAGAGTTAGAGTAAAGAACAAGTAAATCAAGCCTATTTCCTAGCAAAGATATTAACAAGGAATGAAAAGCTAAGTGTTGCATATATTTGTGTTGGACAAAAATCACATAGGCATACAGCCACACACAAATGACTGAATAACCCAGAACACAAAATAAATAAAACTGAGGAAAAGAAATTGACTGCCAACCATGTTCATGTTAATAGCACCTTTTTAACAGAAATAAGCACTTGGATCCTCCTATAAACTGATTTGCTCTCTTCTATCAGCACAACAGCACACAAATTTTAAACAGTGATATTATTTTAAGTATACATTACACTGTCCCAACTTAAGATTCTACATGCATTATACACCAAAGAGAGAATGATTTCTAATAAAATTTCTATCACTGTTTCACTTCCTTCCTCCTCAATTATGCATATACCTTTTTATAAGATGAAAATGATTGTGTACAAAAAATATAATAATTGCTGAGGTGTATAAATATATAAAATAACAGAATGTTATTATGCAGAGAACAGATTTCTACAGAAGCTACTGCTCAGAACATTTTCCAGCAAAAAAAAAAGATTTAACAATTATATGGAAGACTGATACTTCCTGTATTTTGCTCCATAAAAACACTTGTCATATATTATTTTTGTACTGCTTCACTTTGTAATGTGCCATAAAGTAGAAGAAGAACTAGTACATTGCATATCCTTTTTTTTTCTTGCAGATTTTTTAAGAGCTAACAGTACCTGTTGTATCTGAAATTGTGTTTACTACAAATCATAGAGACTTTTCTGCAGTAAATGTTTGTGCCTGCAAAGAAGGACATACATTTCAAATATTTATAGGATTACTTGAAAAGGGGCATAACTCTGTAAATTATTGCTAGACCTGGAATGTTAACAAAATTAATTGGAATGGATAACAATTAAAAATGTTGAAGTTGCAACTATCAATAAATGCTCATCAAAATAACAATCAACAAGATCATTAGTTTTATCAACAATACATCAATATAAGTATAAATCAGTTGATGAATAATTTTCATTTATATTTTGGAACTGGTCAAAATTGATTCTTGCTTTCTGTTTTCATGCTGGTACTAAAATATATATTTTTTTTACAACAGAAAAACAGGTATATAAAGAATTTGCTATAAAAGATGATATCATTGCTAAACATCCAAGCAATATTTAGAAATACTAGTACTTGAACAAACCTTTTGAATATTTATGTTTAATATTCAAATGAAAACAATAATTTGTATGCTCATGAGTGGCAAGAATATCAGTAGTCTTGTAAAAATGATTTTGTTAAAGATGAAAATAGAACATACTGAAGTCAAATACAAACAAAAATGAACGTCTAAAAAAATTTTTAAAATTAATATAGAGTACATAGAATTCAAAAATAAAAAATTCTGTAAAGCTATGAATTTCAGTGTCATGAAGTCAGATCAACTGACTAAAAATAGCATGATTTACTGGCTAGGGATGACCCCAAAAAAGGTCAAAGGTCACATGTACACAACTAGTTTTTCCTTGACTTGTTCCTCTTTGCAAGAAACTCGCCCACACATGCGTATTCCTGGTCCACCTGAAAATGTCTATACAATTCCTTGAAGTCTGGTCGTTTAGCTGGGTCTTTGTGCCAGCATTCTCTCATCTTCTTGTAGCAGGTTTCGGGACAGTCGTCAGGTCTTTCTCCTGACTCAATGAACTGCATGACCTGTTAAAACAAAACTCAGGGTCAAAGCCTACAGAATGTTAGTCCCGAAACTGAATAATGTTGTCTCTGCTTAATGTTTGAACTACTACAAAGAAATTCTAGAAGTCCAAATCAGTTTTCATATGATTCACTTTCAACGGAGAATTGATCCATCATTACCTTTCGAGGGAAAATTTTTGCCTTCAATTTAGGTTTACCCTCTTTGCCTTTGATACAAGTGGGTGAATTTAAGACAAGGCAAGTTCAAAGAAGACAGTGTAAATATTTGAATTTCGACAAATTTTAAATGGAGCAAAATTTGCAAATATGAAAGGGAAAAAATAACATAGGGCAAAAATAATGTTAACCTTGTATACAGTATTCCAGTGAAACCAGATAGTATAGATAACAACTTGATATTAAAGTAGAACATTAATTTATATTCCTTATACCTCTACACCCTTTTTGTCTCCGTAAGGCTGGTCTCCATAAGAAAACATTTCCCACAACGTGATGCCAAAACTCCAGACATCTGTCTTGTGGTTAAACTTTCCATAGTTAACACATTCTGGTGCATACCTGTAATGGAAGTTACAAAAAAAATCCAATTCAAGACAATTTTACAAACTGCATGAAAATAATGTTCTCACGGTTTCAGGTATCAAATATAAAATCCTACCATTTGATTGGCCAGCGCCCCCTTTAAACGCCTGATAGTAATTCTTCTCCTCGGCAAAAGCCCTCGACAACCCAAAGTCACTAATCTTCACCTGAAAGTCAATAAAAATACACAGACATCAGCAGAGCTCACTTTAATACCTTCAACGGAATTTTTAGTGAAATTTCCTTGGATTGTTCCTTTTCTTCAACTAGGTCTTTACTTCATTGCTGTATTGTACCAATTTATTTAGTCTAGTTGAAAATTGAAAAAAAAATTCAAAACTAAATAGATAAACTTTTCATCACCTGTTCCAAATTTTGGACAAGGATATTCCTAGCAGCTAGATCCCTGTGGACTATCTTCATGGTCTCCAGATAACACATGCCATTGGCGACCTGTGAAGCCCACAGGTACATGGTGGGATTAGCCCTAATATTACTCCTATGGTCAATCAGGTAATCTAACAAGGAACCCTGGGAAATGTACTCTTCCACCTGAAATGTTTTAAACATACAGTCAATCTACATGTAGATGTGCTATTTGAAAGATGGACTAATACATTACATAAGAGTGCCGTTTCAAAATCTGTTATCATGCAATCTAACTCATTAAATATGCAGCGTACAAAAATTTTGAATTTCAGAATGATGCAGAGTGGATTTGATTCTATTTTAGTCCATCAGATTTCAACTACAGATCACATCGACTTACTTTTTATGTGGAACACACGTACCAAAGATATACTGGTATCAGTTGATAAGATTGATAATTCTTGTATTATAGTTATTAACACTTTTCAATAATTTCAAATGTTGACCGAATGATTTTATTCCGGTGTCGCATAACATTTGGTCCGCCTCGTTTAAAGGTCCGATAGGAACTAATACGATAACATATTTGGTCCGCCTTTTATAAGAAAAGGTCCGGCCCGTATAAGGAAAGGTCCCCCTGCGTTTTAAGGTGCGGGTGGTGCAAAATGTTTTAATCTTGATTTTAACATTTGAAATCAAGGCTACCGGGTGGTTTGTTTATGCTATATGATGAAAGAAGGATCAACCCTGTTGTGTTTTATTTTTTGTACAACATACATGTATCTCTAGACAAGAATCTACTCGTATAGTGTGCTTTAAGCAGTGCCGTTTAGGGCCATGATTTCTTTAAGGTAGGATTCTTCTCTGGTTTCTGACTAGATGAAATATTCAAAGTATATTTGCTTATGTGTTTTATATACATGTGTTTAGGTGAAAAAAGATTTAAAAGACCATATTTTTCTTTCCTCATCACAAGTGTACAACTTTAAATAGAACTCGTCAATTGAGTCTATATATTTGGCGGAATGGTGGCGTATGAAAATATCTTTTCTGCCTCTCAAAATTATAATTGAACAATGAATTTAGTTATAACCCTTACCAAAGTAAAATTATTGCAGCAATATTGCCGTTATATTGCAGCAACATTGCAGCAACACATTTTTGTCACCAGAAACAAGATTTTTGGGTTAGTGAAATATCACCGCTAGCGGCAACAACTTCTGGTGATATTCTGGCAATACTGCCAGAAAAAAAACTTTCTGGCAGTATTGCCAGAATGTCGCCAGAAGATCTAGGACTACCCATTAGGCATTTGTGAGCATGCTCAGTCATTTACTTCCTCTTTTTAAATAAAATGGAGGGAATTCAAAGGCAAGCATGTTTTGCTTCATTATTGAATGGTATCAAGTTAATTGGAGTTGTTACTTGTGTACAATAGGATTAGACATGATGACTAGTGAGACTGAATAATGTGGAATAGCCAGAAAAAAAGATTTTCAGCAGTTTCCATGGCATGGCCTTTTAAAAAATTATAGGAATGTCTAATCTGTTTTCATGGTATATATATCAGACTTGGTACGTCAAAACCATATTCTTTTTTAGATGAATCATTTTATGGAGTTAAAATAGGAAAAATTATATGCATTTCAACTAGTGCTTGTGATGCTTGTATACTATATACTTGTTTGTCTATATATATCATACCATTGTTGCAGGAGAAGATGAATGCATGTTATCAATTAAATGCATGCACATACATGTATATGATTAATTAAATTTGAATACTTGCAAGAAAATAATGATTCTATATATATGTTGGAAATTAAAAACAAGCTATGTATTATACATTATACTGATTGGCATTAGGGAATATGTGACGGGCAGCTAATTATAAGGTTATTTGAAAATTAATGCAGAGTTGCTGGACATTTTTACAGTGGCATATTAATATTTTTTATACACACATTTTTTATGTGCCCGGATTGATAGATTAGGGCACATATTGTTTTTGTCCAATCTGTTTGTAAACTTTAATCTTTGCCATATGTGATAACTTTTGAACCAATGAGATATAGAGACTTCATATTTGGTATGCATACTCCACTTATTAAGTCCTTTCAAATTACACCAAGGTCAATGACCTGGTGACCTTAACTGTGACCTACATGCTAAAAATAGTTTTTACTGAATATTTGCCATAAACTAAGAACCAGGAGAAATAGAGACTATATACTTAGTATATGCATACTCATCTAATTTGGGTCTTTAAAGTGACACAGTGGTCTTTGACCTTGTAACCTTTGCTGTGAGCCATATGCTTAAAATAAATTTTTTGAACCTTCGACCTAACTTTTGAACCATGAAAGATGGCAGCCTCATATTTAGTATCCATTCTCCACTTTTTATGCTCCTTCAAATGACCCCAAGGTCAATGACCTTGTGACCTTTTTTGTGATCTATATGCTAAAAATAGCCTTTATAAAACCCCACCATAAATTTTGAACTATGAGAGATAGAGACTTCATATTTAGTATGCATATTCCACTAATTAAGTTCTTTCAAATGACACCCAGATCAATGACCTTGTGACTTTGACTGTGACCTATATGCTAAAAATGGGTTTTCAAACTTTGTTGCCATTGGGGGCATAAAATGTTTCAAAACACATCTTTTTTCAACAAAATTCTTCTATCTTATCAAAGAATAGCATATTGAAATGTGCAAAAACCCATGATTTACCTATTGATGTTATATGTGAGGATTGTGATGAATTTATTTGTGGAAAATGCGCAAAAACAGACCATAGAGAACACGAATGGAGCACTATACCCACGGCAGCCACCCAAAGGAGAAGAGGATCGATAAAACTTCTGAGGAAGATCAAGGAAGAGGATCTGCCTGGGATGAATGAGAAGATAGAGAAGATTCCACAGCAGATCACAGAAAATAAAGACCTGTGTGATGCTGAGATGAAAAAACTTCAAAATCATGTTGATGAAATATGGAGGAAAACAAGAATACTATGTCCGATTTCGGCTTGATCGACAACCACAGAGAACTGATGTAAATGCTGTCTGGTCTGGATGTTGATATAGAGGAATATAAACATTCAGTGAAATACAGTAAAAGTGAAATCAGTGATTATGTAATAGAGAAATTAATAGGAAAAACTTGAAAGGTATCATTTTGACCGAAACAAGTACATTTAAATATGGAGATCAGCGAATGCTTTTGTTGATCGAGGGCTTTGTGTGAAGATCGGTGTTACATAAGACAAATTGAGTTAGCTTATATTGAACAAGTAAACAAAGAAGGAGACAAAAAACATGAATACTAGTATAATATCGAACCTAATGACATATGTGTGAATGATACTGGTGATATTTATTTCACTGACTTTCCAAATTATTCAATCCGTTCACTGTCACCATCAGGATCTGTCTCGACAGTCATCAGTACAGATCCACTGCAACCAAACGGAATCTGCCCGTCAGTGGACGGGGGACTACTGGTCACCTTGAGAGACATGGAATCAGATAGTTTCAAATTAAAGTCACACAGCAGACGTCTGGTGAGACACATTACAGTGACAGGTGACGTCACCCATGAGTATGAGTACCAGGAGGACGGTTTCACCAGACTGTTTACATTTCTATTCAGAGTCACACAGAACAGTAACAGCGATATCTGTGTTGTAAACTTGACAGATGATGCTACAGGAGAACTGGTGATTTTCTCTTCTTCTGGACACTTAAAGTCTGTCTACCGTGGACTGAACCAGTCAATGGACTTTGATCCAACTGATGATTCACACTGTAACATCCTTGTTACTGACAGAGCTGGTAGAAATATCCATCTACTGACATGAGTCCTGATGGGGAGTTCCTGAAATTCTTGCTGTCAGAGAAAGAAGAGAACTGTCCAACCAGATTATCATTGTACAAGTCTACACTGTGGGTGGGATACTACGATGGACTTGTCAAAGTGTTTCATTACAGGGTATAAATTGTACATGTATACTTGAAGTTTGATTGAAATTACTTTCATTATATTAAAACAGTAATTATTAATCTACTGTATTTTAAACTACAGCATGCGTGATTTTTCTTTTCGTGTGCTATTGATTTAAGTTAAATCAAAGTCAATTTAATGTTAAGAAACAGATAAAAAAACTATTTAAAATAAGTTAATATGATGATGTTAGATCACTTGAAGAGCAGTTTAAAAGACTGATTTTTTATTGAATTGATTTAATTGGCAAAGAAATTTTAAAGATGTCAAATTGTATCTTGGTTTTATTTTTGTTTTATGAATAAAAAAGAGGATTAAAAAAATCAATCTTTAACCTCCATTTAGTCTCTAAAAGGATTTTGAAGATCGGTGTATTTGACGGACGAATGGAGGAACCAGGGTATCAACAAAATACATCTACCAGGTCAAATTTTTTTCTGCTACATTTGTAGCATGCACAATTTTTTTAAAAATTTCTTCATTACTGAGCATTTATGAATAAGCTGTAGGTTTTTTTTCCAAAGATAAAATGCAAACTCTACATAACACTGTGTATGATTGTTATTTTTGAAGATACATTTTTATTCACCTGTTTTATGCCCTGTTCACCAGTATCCTTTAAAGGGTTTAGGGGACCGATCACTGCCTGTCATCTTCAACTTTACCATGCTAACTACTTAGTGCATATTAATACAGATAGTTTAAAGGTTTGCTTGTTTGTTTAATGTCCCTTTTGAGAATTTTATACTGTACATTGCGCTTCATCGGCTACTTAATCTAGGTTATAGATACAGCTAGTAAATCACTCTTTTTTCACGAGAACTTTATTTTTACGTAATTACGCGAGACAGTGCATGTAGTTTTTCTGAAGATTAAATAAAGTAATGACCACATTTCATGAAAATTTTGTCTGGCTTATAATGGGTCGATCAATAACTATCTCACAACAATTAAGAATAATCAATAGTCGAATCTTAATAAAAATGACTTATGGTAAACTGCAATATTCAATGGGCTCTCCTCAAGGGCATATTGAAATGTGTACGACCCTCGATTTACTTATTGGTGTTATATGTGGGGACTGTGATAAAATTTATTTGTGGTATATGAGCTAAAACCAATGAAGAAAATGAATAGACCACTATACCCACGACAGTCCGCGAAAGGAGGCGATGCCCACTCAACTTTATTAAGATTGATTTTATACTGTTTAACGTCCCTCTCCAGAATGTTTCACTGATATGGAGACGTCACCATTGCCGGTGAAGGGCTGCAAATTTAGGCCTATGCTCGGCACTTATGGCCTTTGAGCAGGGGGGATCTTTATCGTGCCACACCTACTGTGACACGGGGCCTCGGTTTATACGGTCTCATCCGACGGACCGCCCCATTTAGTCGCCTTTTACGACAAGCAAGGGGGTACTGAGGACCTATTCTAACCCGGATCCCCACGGGGCAACTTTATTAAGAAAGATTAAGGAAAATGGTCTGCATGGGATGAACGAATAGCTAGAGATGATGTTATAACTGATCACAAAAAATAAAAAAAAAACTGTGAGACAAAATTGAAAAGCTTCAATGCTTCATTATCAGTGGCCGATCCAGAAATTTTGAAAAGGGGAGGCCCGACCAATTTGAGGTCAGGGGAGCTAAGGTCCACAGCCACACCAAAAAACATTGATTTATCATTATATTGTGGGGGTTCATAATCCGCCAGTGATTATGATGAGATAATTTCAAAGGTATCAGATATGAAGAAACGAAATACTCAGTAAACAAAGACTGAGAGATAATTTGAAGCAAAAATTGAAAACCTAAATAGTATGAAATCTGAGTTAATTGAAAAGAAGAAAACGATTGTGAAGACAGTTCAGTTCAAGGAGGATAAAAAGAGTACCATGTCAGATTACGGTTTGCTTGACAACCACAGAGAACTAACACAACTTCTCTTTTGTCTGGAAAATGATGTCACCAACTTTGAAGATTTGGTGAGATACAGTCAAGTTGAAATCAAGGATGAGTTACTAGAGACAGTGACTGGGACAACTCTCGATTTTAATATGTCATTTTCACTGGAACAAGCTCATTTAAATATGGAGATCGACAATTATATTTGTTAAGGGTAATGTTTGAAGAACAGTGTTATGTAAGACAACACGCGTCACCTTATACTGAATAAGTAAACAAAGAAGGTGAGAAAAAACATAAATACAATATAATTTAACATAACATATAACATAATTAAAGTAATTACACCCTCCTATGATGTCATAGGTTTTTGCAAAAACTGTAATTAGTTTAAATTCATACCTAATAGAACAATATCTCTTGGAATAATGCGTTACAATAGGTGTAATGATGAATATTGTTAAGTTAAAGAATTAAAAAAAAAATGCATATTTTCTATATTTGATCAATCAATCAATCTTTAAAAAATGTTGACAAGGGCAATAACTCCTTCTAAGGTCTCTTCATTCAGGCATTTGCTTTATTGTAAAATAGTTTCCTTGATATTCACAATTCACAAGTATCTTTTAAAAAGGAAGTATTTAGGAACACTCAGCATCAGAATTATGCATTTTAACCAGTTTTTACATATTTTTCATAATACTGTTTACAAAAAATGTGCGATTTTTTATGTTGACATACACTTCTGTTTATTTATGTTTCGTATCTTAAATAATATGGTGACCTATACATTTTTTGCAATAATTGGAAAGTTTAAAGTATATTAAATGGAAATAAATGCAGTTTTTATACTTTGAACCTATAAAATTGTGAGGGTGGAGTCACCTTAATTTCATTGACTATCATAACAATTTCATCGCCTGCCTGTCACCATCAGGATCTGTCTCTACAGTCATCAGTACAGATCCACTGTCAGCAAGATGAATCTGTTAGTCAGTGGACAGTGGACTGCTGGTCACCTCAAGAAACAACGAATCAGATCGTCTATCTTTGTTGTTTTTGGAGACCAGGTCTTCCAACAATCTATTGAAATTCCCATAGGTAGGAATTACGCCCTAATACTAGCAGACCTATTTTTTGTATTCATATGAAACAGAATTTCGGCAAAATCTTGTTTTTGAAAAGAAAACAAAAACACACTTGCTATGGCTTTCAACTCGACAATTAGATAAATCGACGACATATTGTCAATTAACAATTGTAATTTCCATTCCTATGTCGATACGATATTTCCCGGTGATCTTGAGATAAAAGATACCACAGAGTCTGACACATATCTGTTTCATATTTAGATAATTTACTAGAAAAAGACATTAATGGTAATCTAACAACCAAGCTCTATGATAAACGTCATGACTTTAACTTTTCTATCGTCAACTTTACTTACTAATGCACCATTTTACCTTCATCACCTAGCTGCATACGGAGTTTATGTATCTCATTTGATTCGAAACGCAAGAGCATGCTTTACGTATGAATAATTTCTAGAACGAGGTAAATTATTTATTAAAAAGATGATGAAACAAGAATATCAGCAGTCTACTTTAATGTCATCAATTCGTAAGTTCTATGATCGATACAATGACCAATTTATCACTGAGTCAAATGCTGACCGAAGTTTTCCATACTAATTGTTAGTCTATTACCGGTAATTGATCATAATTTACTAAACTTCCCATGAAATGATGAAGGATTTTTGGAATCATGATTATTACCGAGTAATCTAGTCCAGTAAAAGAGAAATTACTCTAAGTTTTTTCAGGTAATGAAGATATTGCAAATAATATTGTACAGACTAAGTGCTTTCATTTCCTTTAAAAAAAAATTTCAGTACAAATATTTGAATACGGGCCTTCTAATTAAAACTGCAAGTTCTTGAATTTTAATAAAAATAAAAAAAAAAAAGATTGTGAGCTTTCCCTACTTTGACAAATCAGAAAATTTTTGATAGATAAGCAAGATTATATCACAAAATAAAAGGGTATGAAAGATGTTTCATGTAATTGTCGACATAGCAGTTTCACTTTTTGAGAATTCACAGGGCACCCTAAGTTAACCTCCAACTGTGATAAATGTCTATCATTTCTGAATAAAATTGACAAGTACATGTATAATTATCATATATGTATTTCTGTTGTTTTTGTCCTGTCTGTCTGTCTGTTTGTTTGTTTGTTTGTCCCGAACTTTAACCTTCAAAATAACTTTTGAACCATGAAAAATAGAGACTTCATATTTGGTATGCATACTTTACTAATTAAGCTCTTTCAAATGACACCATGGTCAATGACCTTGTGACCTTGACTGTGGCCTATATGCTAAAAATAGCTTTTTTCTGCAAACTTTAACCTTCGCCATAACATTTGAACAATGAAAGATAGAGACATCATATTTGGTATGCAAACTCCACTAATCAGGTTCTTCCAAATGACACCAAGGTCAATGACCTTGTGACCTTGACTGTGACCTTAATGCTAAAATTAGCTTTTTCCGAACTTTGTTGCCGCCGGGCGCATAGTGTTTCACAAACACAACTTGTTTTTAAATTGATTTCAGGTCAAAGGTGCAAGGTCATAAATTAAATCTGTTTTTAACAGTTTCATTTCCACATGATATCTCGAGAAGACATTGAGTTTTTGTTATAAAAATTTTATACCACAACTCCCTATGGCCTAAGAATTTCAATCAAGAGATCAAAGGTCATGGTCGTAAATTCATATATTATGTGTGCATGTATAACTTTTATTTCTTGGCGGAATCTCAAGAAGTTTTTGCAATGACAAGAAGTTTTTGCAATGAAAGTTTAATCCACAACTCCCAATGCCTCCATGTCCCCTTCTTAAAGTACCCCCCCCTTTCTATCCATCCCTTCTAGATCAACACATGCTCTCCTTTTCTTCTTAAGCGGGAGACACAGATTCTCTGAATAAGCTTGTGTATAATTATGACCCACTGTTATGGCCCCTTTATTCTCCGGAGGGGGGGGGGGTCATGTTTTGAACAATTTGAATCTACGCTACCTGAGAATGCTCTCAACAAATATGACCAATTATGACTTTGCTGTTCTTGAGATTTTTCCTAAGTATTAACATATAAATCTTTTTTTGCCTGGAGTCATGATGTGATTTTTGTTTGTTTATTGTTTTACGTTCCTCTCGAGAATTTTTTACTCATATGGAGATGACATTACTTGACGGCGGAGAGCTACAAATGCTTGATCCATGCTTGGCACTCAGGTCCAGAAATCTTTTCGTTTTAGCCCCTACTGCGACATATGGTATGTGGTGACGTCTTAATTCATATGAGTAAAAAAAGCTCGACAGGGACGTAAAACATTACTTATAAATTACACCTTCGGCGTTTATGCAAATAATATCACGGAAGCCGCACTCGATGGATCACATTATGAAACAAAAAAAATTAGACAGTTATTCCTTAAAGAAAACAGTATATTGGAGTACCTTCAGCGAAGAATAAAAATAAGAGTGCACTGCTAGATCCACCCCCCCCCCCGCCAATAAAGTCATTTCTTTTAAAATCTCAATTAAGAAACAGTTCTTTCATTATATAATTGCATATTTTAAATCACAGGTTGCACACGATACAAAATATTGAAAAATAGGATTTTAATATGATTTTCATGATATGGTTAAGTTTCAACGTTTTTTCAAAAATTCACCCTTTAGAAGTGAACCTTTCATAACATAACATTTTGCATGATTGTTATTTATGAAAACAGAAAGTTTTCTTTTTTATGGCCTGTTCACGACTTGAATTCTTACAGGGTTTACGGGATTATGACTCTAAGTTATCTTCACTTTTATAAAGCTAAATATACTCAGGGAAATTATTTAAGTGCATTTTGTTTATTTTAAAAGTGCACCTTCTTGTCACATGATAGCAGTTTAAATATCGTTTATGACACTTGTGCACACCACAAGTTACAAAATCTAGGTCATAGATAGTCGACATTCAACAACATGGCAGCCAGTAAACCAAAATATCCACTAGGCTCTCCTCAAGAGCATATTGCAATGTGTAAAACCCATGATTTACCTATTGATGTTATATGTGAAGATTGTGATGAATTTATTTGTGGTAAATGTGCCAAAACAGATCATAAGGAACATGAATGGAGCACTCTACCCACGGCAGCCAGCCAAAGGAGGAGAGGTCTACTTAAATTACTGAAGAAAATCAAGGAAGAGGATTTGCCTGTGATTGAGGAGAAGATCGAGAAGGTGTCACAACAACTGAAAGAAAATGAAAAAGTTTGTGACTCTGAGATTAAAAAGCTGCAGAAGCACTATGATGAGATTATTACCAGGTTATCAGAAATCAAGAAACGAAATGAGCAAAGATTGAAAGATAATTTGAAGGATAAAAATGATAAGCTGGAAAGCGTGAAATCTGAGTTATTCAAAAATAAGAAGTCAATTGCGGAGACAGTTCAGTTCATGGAGGAGAACAAGAGTACCATGTCAGATTACGGCTTGCTTGACAACCTCAGGGAACTGACAAAAATGTTGACTGTCCAGGGAGTTGATATGAAAAACTGTAAACATTCAGTAAGATACAGTAAAGGAAAAACGAGTGGTGATATACTTGAGAAAATGGTGGGGAAAACTTTGGATATAGATGACATCAACTTGACTGAAACAAGCGTATTTCATTATGGATATACATGTAAACGAATATTTTCGTTGAGGGCTGTTGGTGAAGATCAGTGTTACGTACGTCAATGTTGGTCACCTTATACTGAACAAGTAAACAAAGATGGTGACAAAAAACATAAATATTCAATAGAGATGTTAGACCTATGTGTGACAGACAGTGGCGATGTTTATTTTACATATGATAAATATAGTAAAAAGTCCATTAGTTGTCTGTCACCACCAGGGTCTGTCACTACAGTCATCAGTACAGATCCACTGTTACCAGGAGGAATCTGTCAGTCAATGGACGGTGGACTACTGGTCAGCTTGATAGACAGTGAATCAGATGAATTCAAATTAGTGTCACACAGCAGACGTCTGGTGAGACACATCACAGTGACAGGTGATGTCATCCGTGAGTATGAGTACCAGGAGGACGATCACACCAGACTGTTTACATTACCAGCCAGAGTCACACAGAACAGTAACAGTGATATCTGTGTTGCGAACCATACAAGTCTCACTACAGGTGAACTAGTGATTCTGTCTTTCTCTGGTCGTATGAAGTTTGTCTATCGTGGACAGAACTTGACAGGGAACTTCATTCCTGCTGATGTAGCGTGTGACTCGCAATGTAACATTCTTGTTACCGACGGAGCTAACCAAAATATCCATTTGCTGAGTCCTGACGGGGAGTTCCTGAAATTCTTGCTGTCAGAGAACGAAGTGAACGGCCCAGCCAGATTATCACTGTACAAGTCTACACTGTGGGTGGGATACTATGATGGACTTGTCAAGGTGTTTAAGTATAGAGTGTAAAATGTAATTCTTGTAGTTTACATACAAGTACATGAAGTAGTGAGATGAAATTACGACATTTTTTGTTTCAAATCATTAAAATTATGTTTGAACTATGAATATCAATCTAATTAAAATTAGTCCTTGCATCTCGCTCTTTGTGTGAATTGTTCTTTCTTGTTCAAGATGCCTGTAATTCTGAAGTTACAACTCCAGAATATATTTAATTTTAACAAAAAGCTTTATTATTTTCTAACATCTGCGGGAATGAATTGTAAAATTAACATGCATATTTTTATTTTTGCATGAAATAAATTACTTTGCCCCCCCCCCCAAAAAAAAATCAAACTTTTACATGCCAAGACATGAAAGCCAACTGTCCGTTCAAAATAATTTGGAACATGTTCCAAACACATAGCTGCCTGGCTGCTGTGTTCAAGAGAAATTATGTCCCATGCTTTTGAAAAAAAAGAGGGTAGAACTGGAGACCTGGATCGGAGTTTTTTCTAAATGTATCACGGGGAAAGAAAAAGTCAACCTTCGCCTTTCAGTTTTAATTTGATCTTACCTATTATCTGTAGGTGTCTTTTTAAGATTAAAAAAAAACAAGATCAAAAGCTTGCAAAATATGAAATTATTATTATAAGAAAAATTAATTCCGATCATATACATTTATATTTTTGAATTTAAACCTTTGACTTTTGACTTTAAAATTAATATGTAATGTTTTTAATGGGGGTTGTGAACTAAAAATTCATTGCAAAATCCTATAGCCTTTTTACGATATGAGTAGAAGAAAAAAAGGCGTTATGATAAAGTAATTTTATCACTTATGATCTTGACCTTTCTCCTCGATATGATTCGGCCATAAGGAGTTGAGATATTAAATTTTATGGAAGAAAGCTCAATTATAGAAAATTGGAATTTATCATGGTTATCAGCTAGAAAATATGTTTGAAATTATGTCCCTTGATCTTTTGACCTCGAAATGAAAAAAGTCTTCGGTAAGCCATTCGGAGTTTTGTTGTATAATTTCGATTAGCTAGCTGCAATAATCATGCATGATAATGTAGCCCTCTCCGATCTTTTTTAATCTTAACCCCCCCCCCCCCAAAAAAAAAAAGAAAAAAGGAGAGAGAGGGGGGCTTCATTATTGTAGTTAAATTTCAATGCAAGCTTGAAGACTCTTTTTTAACTCACAAAGAGCATGCATAATTGATTTTTATGACCATGCCCCCCCCCCCCCCCCAGCACACGAACAGTTTGCACTAAATTTAGTTTCTGATTGTCAAGTTTTTTTTCAGGTACATGTGTAGGTTGATTTTTTCCCTCAGCCCCCCCCCCCCCCCCCCCCCCCCCCCCCCCCGTTCAAAAATGATATCATATTACTGTTTTTTAAGATATTGTCTATAAACAAACTAAGGTGTTACACACGAGGAAATTAAATATATAACCTTGGATTTGACTTGTTGAGTTTTGACTTCAAATCAAAAGGGGTTTTCTATAGCCTACAGGGAGTTGTGGTATTTTAAAGCTCTCATAGTCTTCAAGATATCGGATATTTATTTTATTTTATAATTTTTTTTGTTAATAAATCTTTAATTCTGTGTGTTAGGGGGATTTTTTTTTCTCTGAAATACATTGTAACTTACTAAATGTATTCTTTGAAGAAAACATAAAACTTTCCTTGGACTCGACCTGGGATGGGGAGAGGGTTCGATCTACAAGCACCTGTGGGATAATCCACACAAAAAATATTTTTTGGTATTTCTTTTAAATTTCAAAACATCAATTTATTTAATAAGTCAACATGTAATTTAGATGGTTTTGAACTTTTAAGAAGAAGAAACGAATATAATAAGAGCGAATTACTTAAATTTAAACAACCAATAATTTCATGACATTTCAGTCATGTGATCGTCGTTATCAACCAAGTTGTAAACTAAGATGGAGGACTAGGGGGCTTAAAGGGTAAGTAAACCAGAATAATGTCACATTGACTCGTGTTATAGTAGCATATCTATAGATACTGACTCAATAATATCAGTATTTTTCTTATTTCACGTTTATAAAAGACAGATAGTCAGCTGATAGATTAGGTCCGCGACTATGTGCTATCGTAAAATCTGACGTTGATTTTAATTATAGTTGTGTTGGATTTTAAACTTAAACATTGTTAATGGTTTCAATCCATGGCAGCTAAAAAGAAATCAAACAACTAAAATGAAAAATAAATAAAGAATATTTCTCTCGGCAAACATACACATGCATCTACAACTGTTGTAGATTTGGAGGTTGGTAACACCAGTACTAAACATGGAGATCTTGTCGGACGACAACGCTTCGGAATCCCGCTTTCCTCTGAAGAAACCTTTGCCCCCAATAGGTGGAGGAGGGGATAATGATGACATTGAACTCCCCAACTCGGGCTCAGATAGTCAAGACGAACAAATTAACTCCAAAGATGAAGATGACAAATCTACTGTGTCAAATGGTAAGTGTGTGAAAATTAGCATTGTGATGTCACAACTGCTGGTATATTATGATGTCATAGGTTTATGTGTATTAAACTTAATTGTGATGTCATAATGAATATATAGGAACTAAAATGTATCATTCTCAAAATGTAAATGAATTTTTTCCACAATTATGTACAAACTGAATAACTGCAAAAACATACCATCTTATGGCGGAGAGTATATCAAACTTGATAGCCCACCTTGGATATATTATGGTATTTTAAGTAAAGGTATGACATTTATTTTAATAGAATAGAATTACATCTATTGTATTTTAGATTTCAAGAATTTTTATTTGACCACTCTTATATAATATTTGCTTCAGTATATGTTTCATAATCAAAATATGCCTTTCAAAAAAGTAAAACTCAAGAAAAATTATCCCTGAAAAATATGATTTATTAAGTAGCTTGTTTGACATCTTTTAAGTATGCGATTAATTTTTACCTAACAGCCTCTTCTACAGCCAAACAAGGAAGCGGTAAAACTCGGCCAGCGGTATTACGAGGATTCCGACGAGAAGCTCCCGAACCCGAATCAGGAACCGACAAAAGTTCAGGGGACGGCACACCCACAGGGTATAAAACAATTTATTTTAAAATCACTTAATTTAAATGCAAATTGTGTAATATAACTGAAACAGACAATTTTGTGCCTCTACTGGGGATTAAACCTGGGGCTTGCCAGTCAAGTGCTAAGACTATCAATTCAGCTAAAAGGGTTAACCCACTAGCCTAAGCTAGTAGGATGCCACATATCTTACACTAATACATAACTATTATTTTAACTGAAAAGAAAATTGAAGTGATTTTTTTAACTTTGTAGAAGAAAGTCCAGGTCTAGAAAGAGAGACATCATGAAAAAAAAAACTTTCGATGGTCGTGAAGTAACGTTTATAACCGAGAATACCCAGACAGACTGGGATTGGCTAGAGGAAGCGGAGAAATCCGGAACAGCTCGTCTACTTGGACCTCGAGATAGTAAGTCTCGCACGTCTATTACTTTATCTCTTTGGTTCAGGTTCTTACATCCAGGGATAGGATTTCCAATCACTCTTGTAGTGGATATCTGATCATGGCGTTATGGGCAAAAGCGGCAACTTTTTCTCCAGCACTTAGAAAAATCTATCCTATGGTTAAATGCTTAGAAACTTTTGTAATTTACTTTTAAGAAATGAAATATCTTAGAATTTAGTCTTGATTTTATGTACTGATGACTTTTAACAATGTTTAAAATAAGTAAATATTAGGACTAAAGTGTTGGTTAATATAAACAAATAAAACAAAAGGTTTGCACTAATTGCATTTTAAAGGTAAATGAACTTATATTCTGTGGATCGTATAAAACTTTTCAGTGACTTATGCAACATTTCAGAGAAGGATAAAAAACAAAAGAAAGATTCTATTAAGACTTCACCCAAGTCTGTGCCTAAAGGTTAAATACTCTTAGCCATTTTGTCACCAAAACATGTGCAGTGACAATAAATGATACTTCACCAGAATGCGTTGATTTGTTCATGATACAAAAACTGCACTATGCAATCACCTTAAACTCTGACACAAATTGAAATGAACCTGTTAGATCACAGGCTTAAATGAATTTGCATTTCAGTATGATCTTTTCAGAAATGCAGGCTTTAATAATTCAAATATTTGAAGAAAAAAAACCTATAATTACTTATTAGAATACATTAAGTGCTATATATATTTCAAACAATGGGAAAAAATCAAGAACTTGTAGGTTTTTAAAATTAATGTCCATGGATTTCAAATAAAGATATCATGATTATCTTACTTGTGAATTTTAAAAAGCATTTACTTGTCTTTAATGTAGCACTACAATCAATCATTCAAACTACACAGCAACACTTTTTTAACACTTCTGTGATTAGTTTCCTGTGTTTCCAGTGAATCACACTTGAGTGTGCCGTGGGGTAGAAGCACTTCTCTTCACATCTTCCTGTCTTTCAGGTTTACTTTCTTTGCACGAAGAAGATGGCCTCTCACCAGGTAAAATAAACTCTTCTATTCTTCATCATACTTGATCATACCTGAGGGAGAAAGCGGTAAAAATAGAAGTACAAAATCAAGTATCAATGGCATTTTTAATACCTTGAGTATATTGAATATGGTTGAATGTTTTTATGTCAGATATATGCATTAAGAATAAGTCAAGCTTATTCTGCTGTTCCGACCATGCTATTAATTAGATAATAAAATTTCAATTGAAATTTAAAATTTTCAAATGTCTCCAGGTCTTTGTTAGACCTGTCACTTTCGAGAAATGTAAATCTGATCATATAATGACTAAAATTATGTTGCTCATTTTGCATTTTGAGTTCTTTTTATTATCCAATATCTTCTAAAATAATTTTGTTTCACTGGAACTATTTAAGTTTTTTTTTTGATTTTAAATCAAGTTTAATAGACCTTTTTACTTTTTTCAAAACATTTTTATTATGAAATAGCAAACTAGATAACTTCTATTGCTTCTGCATCCATGATATTCCCAAAATTTGAATCAAAATCATTAAAAAATAATTCTTATAAACCTACTTCTTCCAATACACTTTCCTCAAGGTCCTTGCTGATCTTCAAGAACTGAAATTTCACTTCTTTTTCACTTTAATGTGTGATTTATTATTGCAGAGGTCCTTTGGTATTTTGATTTCTGAATACTCTGGTATAAACAAAAATTTAAATTTTACTGACATTTTGATGTATTTTTATGATTTCAAAGTTTCAACCACCATTTCTTCAGGCATTTTACCCTGGATATCTTGAATACTCAGATATCTAGGAAATTATTTCTTGGTCCCATTGAGCTTGATATAAAGATAATTGACTATATTTACAAATAAATATGACATCTTATATACAATGTGCCATACTCCAGATAAAAAAAGAAATTTGTTTGGATCAATTCTCATAAATACGTTTCCTATTGCACAAGTTACATGTACATGTACCCTGGTAACTGAATTTACAGTCAACTTAATTAATTCAGATGTCAATTTCATTTAATTAATCATGTTTTTTTTCTGTACCAATACAGGTAAGAAGGAGGAGTCTAAGGCCGACATCCCCACCCTACAGGAGGAGTCCTCCGCCCCCTCCCCGTACCCCATCAACGATGAGTTCGGGGTCCCCATGTTAGAACTCAGCAGTGACTCTGATACGGTAAGAATACATACACAGTGTGTTGTATACAAATATATTGTCATATTTAATTTTCATTGTTTGATTGTGTTAATAATCAAAAATTTGAAATGGTTTGTTCTTCTTATCAAATTTGACATTTTTGTAATGAAAATAATGAAAAAAGAGAAAAAAATGGCAAATTAAATTCAAACAGAGATGAAAATAGGTAATTTATCTTTGAAAATTTTTAAGAATAACCAAAGGTAAAAAAAGAATGCTGTGTTAAGTTTTATATGAATATTTAAAATGAGGGTGAAGTCTTCAGTATTTTAAGAATTGATTTATGAATATTTTTTTTTTGCATATTCACACACAAACACGCACAAAAAAAACAAACACACTAAACAAGAATATGATGTTTTAAATTGTTATCATTGAAATGAGATTCAAATGAATTTATTGTTATAAAGAGTTCTGATGAGGAGGAATATACAGGGAAGAAAGTGCAGGATGATCGCACTTTCATGCCTAGTATCGGTCCACCACAAATACTGCAGGTAAAATGGGTGTGGCTTGTGTAGAGCTTTAGTGTTGGAGGTGTGGCTTAATTTAGCAAGTAGCTTATCAGAAACCAATTAGACCCCAGGTGGAGGTGGAGCTATAACTGTCAATCTAATTCCTCTAGTACTAATCATGTGGTGTGATTTGTTATTACTAATTAGAGCACTGTTAATTGTACTAACTTTATTTTAGAAATTTAATATTTTTAAAAAACAAATAATAAGTGAGAAAAATTGCTAGGAAATTTTTTTTTCAAGGTGCAGGATAAAATTTATGTGTACATCACAATGATTTAAACACACTAAATAAATTCATATTGAATAAACAGCTTTTGATATTCATCATGTAACTGGGCAATCCAATGTTTATGATTTAATGTACCCACAAAGCACTTTTAGAAAACAACAGCAAGCCATGAATTCTTGTGAGCTTTAAAGTAACCCGGCCCTTGCACTATACAGTAAAATTCATTGTTAATTGATGCACAAGTTTTCTGGGGGGGTTTTTAACCTCAAACTGAATAAATTTCAACTAAAAGGAAACTTTTCATGTTTTTTACTCATACTTATATACATGTAGTAATAGTGTAGTAGTTGGCAATGAAATATGCTATTAGCCGTGATCTTTTTTTGACAGCTGATGCAAGTGTTCAGGTACATTTCAGATCTGTTGTAACTAACATTGTGATAAAAGGCACTGATTTAATTTTATTGTCATATCAAATGGAGGACATTTGATTTTTATATGTCATTTTTGGTTGGTTAGAAAAATTTATAAGCTCATTTTCAGTTGTTTTTTTTCACAATTTTTTTTATCATAAACTTGGTTTTAAATGCATGTTTTAATATTTTCATAATCAGATAAAGAAATTCTTACAAAAGCATCATTCAAATATTAAGGTTATGGTTTTACCAAAATATTTATTTTTATTAGCTCTTCATTTCATAAACATATATTTTAATACAGGTGGAAAATTTGTTAAGATTGAAAAAATATCGTGAATTGTATTAATATTACTCCCTCGAATATATTTTAAAAGCAAAGTGAGTATTTTGTATGCCCTGTTTAATATGCTTAATGTATATTTCATAGTACAACAAGGAATCTGAGAAAAAGGTTATAGAGGTCAGCGAGCCCTCTGAGCGCACTCAAGATGAAGAGGCTGAGGTAGACGAGCATGGCCGCGTCGTGGGAATGTTCGGAGGAACGTGTGAGTTCTGTGGTCACGCGGTCCAGCCCTGGCCCACCCTGGAACAACAGCAGACTCTCCCCCCAGACCAGCTGTACTGCTGTAACGACTACAGGGAGTTTGTCGAGTTCACTACAGAACAGGCGCAGGCCGTAGAGGCGGAACATAAATCGCTGACCAAGAAAATCAGCATCTCCAGTCACCCTCACTATGGAAGCTCAAAAGAGGATAGAAAAGTGGCTAAAGAAAGGGCTTTACAGAGGTGAGGGGGAACGGCAAGGCCTGCTTTACTTTGACAGTTTCTGTTGATTTTGAGTGAGAAAAAAAAACTTTCTCTAAAGATGCTATTAAGTAAAAGGAATTTGAAGTTCAAGGAAAATCTTGAATATTTGAAATCACATGAATTTTAATCAATGTGAATGTGCAGTTTTTAAGCTTGGAAGAAAATACTTAAATGTATTATTTGATGTACGATATTTGCAGATTACGGGTTAGTGTAGATTTGATTTAGTGCATTTCTTGTTTCTTATATGTGTATTGCACTTGTGCAGTTTTTAGAAAATTCAGTATCTGAAACCAGATATCTTGAATACCATTGCACTACCACTGATATGTTTTAAAGTAACATTTGAAATCCCAACTAATGATATCTTGAGTTTTTCTAGGTCCCATCAAGTTTAGATAATGAGATTTTGTACTTTTATAGACTGTTATTGCATGTTGCAGACTGTTAAAGTATATGTTACAGACTGTTATTGAATGTTGTAGAATGAGAGAGAAGGAAATGCAGAGGAAGCAACAGGAAGCCTCTGGCTTTCAGCAGCAGTCTAATTTCTATTCTTGTAAGTTAACCTCCACAGTGCTTTATAGCAGCTTCTACTGCTCTTCATTCAGGCCAAGTTTTTATAGGGCTATCAACAGTTTGGTTATCTTTTCATTTAACATGTATTTGCTTGCAATTTTATAATTTAATTAATTTTCTGCTCCTTTCACAGTAACAGCAAAAATTGCCTCATTAATAGATTTAATTAACATCTTGTTTTTCATGTTTTCAATTTTTTTCTTCACTTTTTTTTCCTGATATTAATATACATTCTGCTAAAATGTTATATTTTTGGTGCTTTGTTTCTTTATTTGATCACTAGAGAATCAAACGTGTGTTTTAAATTTATTGGCATTATGATAATTTCTTTGGAAATTAAAAATTAAAGTCTCTAAAAGAAAGATATACACAGGTTTAGTTCTCTTCATTTTGTTTCATCTGAGACTGCAAATAATTTATCTGTTGAGTTTAAAAAGGTTATTTAAAATGTTTTGAAAATTAAATAGCATACATGTGCTGAAAATTATAATGCACATAATATGCATATACATGTATATCCACAAGTTTAGTTTTGCACGGCAATTCTTTTAATTCATTATAAAATACAACAGCTATTATCTGTGGTCTCAGGATTGAACTTTAATATTCACTGGATGTGTAACCTTGTATTATTTTGTGTGTGGTTTAGCCGTTAGACCCGTTTTTCGACACAGACAGCTGATGAACGTCCAGAATATGTACAAAGATTTGGGTAGGTGCCACTGCATGACCTATTGACCTTTACCCAGAATCCAACCCTGTAAAGTTCATAACCCTAATCAACTACCAATCAAATCTCATCTAGCTTGCTTCATTTATTGGCAAAGAGCATTAAAGTCATAATGATAATAGAAATATTTATAGCTTGAATTACAGTGGGTATTTGGATTAATTTTTGCATTTTTTTTTCATTCATATGTATTTCACCATCTATCATTTTCTTGTACATCAAGAGATATTTTTGCCAAAGCATTCCAAAATTATGCATTAATTTAATTAACACCTTGAAAAAAATTACCATCTCTATCATTACTTCATACCTTTCCTTCATTAGCTAAATTACCTTTGATCTATCATTGTATATTTTCATTGTATTAATGTTCATTTTAATACAAATTGTCATTCATTTTCTCTGTCATTCTAATTTATTCTTTCTTTTCCTCCTTTGTCTGTCTTTCTGCCTGTTTTGTCACATGACCAGCTTACAGAAGTCGAAACAAAACTCTGATGGATGCTTATAGCATTTATGGTGATGCAGGTATGCTAATTGAGATGCTTAAACAAACCTATGTTAAAGTGGTACACTAAACTCTAGAATGTGATGCATACATTAGATTCTTAACCCATTAGACACTTGCATTTAATCTCTTGATTAAATTGTAAAGACAATGTGCTAGCATATTACATGTATTATTTTTCAAAAGTTATGATCAAAAATATTCTACATTACTCAATTGCAGTGAGACTGGATTTATGAAAAGCTGGTATTTTAAAAGGGCATGATTTCTAAAATGTATAAAACTCACTTTAAATTGACTGACAGATACATAATTTACTCAGTAAGATATGTAATTTTGAAAAGTTTAAAAAAGCATGGAGTGTGATTGAGTTTATCTATCCTAGGCTTCAGTAACTGACATATAAATGTATGGAGTTTTAATTTTGACATTACAGATAGCCAATCTCCACCACCATTACCAAGCATAGGTTACGGGTCATTTTTTATACCTTATTTTGCTTTTCAGAGCTATATTTACCCCCACAAGCCCAACTTATATCTTAGCTGATACACAGTTTGGTGTGCCATCACATTATCTATGGTTAGAGTTACTTCCCTTAGTAATGTCGCTTACACCTTAATTTGCTTGGTATGGGAAATTTACAGGCTTAGTTTATGTGAAAACAAAAGCAGGCTAGAGCCAAAAGAAATATCCAGTAATGTGCATTCCCTATTATCGTTACAATTGTATTTGAACAAGATATGTTTGCCTTTATTCCAAGTTCTGAAGTTAACAAGAACTATGCATTTCCTAAGTTATTTCCCTTACTTAGAAGTGTGTGTGTTTTTCTTCATTATTCATAATTATTTGTGATTACAAACAATACTTCAAGTATATTCATATTCACATTACCATCTGTTGTGTCATCAATGGAATCAGAGTTTGCTTCACAAGAGAGGAAAATTTTAACTTGTAGTGTTTAGTATTGTCCTGTGTTGACAAGGAAGAAATGGATTATCCCCCCTTTGTGTGTTGTTCTTCTGTGCTGCTCTTAGTAATAAAAAAAGATATTTTATTGGTTTAGCGAAAACTTATGCAAAAAAAGCTAAATTTAAGTGACTACAATTTATAAAGATATAATTTCACCTTAATAATTTGTAAACCATATCTAAAAATAGATTTAAATACTACAAAATATATTACATATTGCTATATTAAAATATTATTTAAAAAGTCTAATGAACAGTAACAAAGTGCTTACAATTATAATCAGATATACATGCATTACTGACCCCATGCTTTTCTGGATTAAGCTAGGAATAATATTTCATGTAATTAATAAAAAGTTTAAACAATTTATTTAATAAATAATTCAAATAAGATTTATTGCCATTTAATTATTTTTAAAATATAACAAAGAAAAATTTTCTTAAATTATGTTTGGAACATTTTATTTAATATATTTATTTACAACAGCAGATGAAACTTTCGATTTCCCCAGTAAAAGCCCTACCAAATCAGGGTTAAGTTTCCATAAATCTAGGTCCTCTGGGAGTTTTATTCCCTCTGTGCCTCCCTCTGGTGCCAGTAAAAGGCAGCAGGAAAAGTCCGAAAAAATTCTGACCTACGCGGAACTTCGTAACCCAGAGAGTCAAACTGGGTTGGCAGGTAGATTATGCTCAGTGGAGCGGAGGAGTGGACATTGTATAATGTGTGTTACGTATATTGTAGAACGTAGAAGATGTATATACTCTTAGTATCAGCATAACATCATACTCATGGCGTATCAATGATTTTAACATGTCATATTACTTTATAAACTATGGAGGAATATACTGTTGTACATATAGGTTGAACTGTTAAATGATTGACCAATTAGCGATGTTACAATGTATTGTTCTGGTACAAGGATATTAGAAATATTAAACAGGTATATTCTTAGTTCTTAGTTGATTTATGGTGGTAAAAAAAGACAATTAAGCATTGAAAAAATTAACAAGCAGCTTTCTAATGTGTCATTTAGTACATTTATGATCAACACTAACATCAATATATCACCTGAGTCATAAATGATTGTTTTATACACTATATGCCAAATCTTCCATGATTATAAATGACTCGAAAAATTTTATGACATTTTAAAATCTTCATTCTCATTTTCTTCATTACATTTTTGTTTATAAATTATTTATCATTTCCTCTTCTTTTTTAGCTTCATATAATTGTTATATTAATATGCTTTATTTTACCCAGAGAGCATTTTCAATCTCCCCTAAGGGTCCCCACTAACACTATTCTGTGCTGTTTTTAGTCGCTCAGAAGATGAAGACAATAAATTACCAGCTGTCCTCCCAGAAATGTCTGGAGGAGGGCTGGACGGTCCGACCCCCCAGTCCCCTGGCGGGCGAGGAGGAGGATGACACCTTCATACCGGAGCCAATCAACATAGACCTCATCAAGAGTGGAAAGGTATGATACCGTAAATCCTGTAAACAGCAAACAATACCGTAAACCATGATTATAGCACACAATGCCGTAAACCCTGTAATTATAACACATCATACAGTAAACCTTGTATATAGCACACAATACTACATTATCTTATATGTCCCTATAGTAAGAGAACATGCCATATGTTCTCCTTTGTTTTCCTTTTAATCTGAAAAAAAAAAACCTGTATGTCGCATTACTGTAGTTTTGATATCTTTCTTTTGTAATAAGTGAAAAAGTTTAATGCTGCAAAATTATACTTGAGATGTATTGTAAGTCTTGGATTGCAGATTCATACCTATGTTTTTTTTTCTATTTTTAGTTGGGTCTAGTTGAGAAGTTTTATGAAAATGGACAGAAGTTCCTGACCATGTTTCCAGATGGAACAGGGAATATTTTGTATCCTTTTTGTTTATCTTGAAAAATTTTATATTCTTTTTATTTAAGTACAAAATTAATGAACCAATTAAACAAACCAGGAGCAAATGCCAACATACCAACTTTTATTTGTAAGCTACAGATGTCTGTAACCTTTCTTATCTTTCTTTACTTCTGAATATTTCTCATCTGATATCATGAATGTATTTGGGTATTTATGTAGTAAGTTGTAAAAAATAGTTGCTAAGGATGAATTTTAAACTTTATTAAAACAACATTTTCAAAAGGAAATTCAAACTGATAAAATTCGATGAAACTTTTTGTGAATAAGGATTTACATTGAGCTTTTTCTAGCTTCCTTTTTATCTGAAAACATGACTGCATGTATATGATTCCTTAGCCCTACTTAGCTATCCCTCAGGAAATCTGGCCATTGCTATAACCTCAGTACAGCTGGGACAGTTTAATTACGTGGTACAGGCAGACTTAGAGAAGCCCAGCATTCTAGCCGTGTTTGAACCCAATGGATTTGCCTGTTGTTACCACCCTAATGGTGTAGTCAGGTATGTTCTTAATTAAGCATTACTGTGTATTAAATTTAATATAATATCAAAGAATTTATTTCTCAGAAAATAGGTCATAAATTGATTATCTTTTAAACAGATTCTTTGTGTTTGCATGTTGTGTTCACTTGAGTGGAAGACGGGTACAAGTGAAACCCTATACTATATTTTGTATCAATTTGGAATTCCCAATACATTTTTTGGTCAATATAGTAAAAATAAATACTTCTTGAAAGGTCATGTGCAGGTGAAAATGACATGGATTTTTTCTTATGATGAATCAGTCAATCAGAGATAAAAAGTAAATTATTTTCACTGACTGCTCTATTCAATACATATTTCTATGCATAATTTTTGCTAAATGCTTCATGCATATCATTGTAAACTTAAATTTTTGGTATACCAAAAGATGTACAAACATTACTGTTATTACATTTATCAAGTAAAGAAGCTAGGTGTTTGCCTGCATGTATAATGAATAAATCCTTCACCCTTTAATTGTGGCAGATTAAACATGGACCAGTTAGTGTATCAGAGGGATAGAATTGGAATAATCCATGAGCCAAATAAATTAATTCCATTTGGGCAATCATGTTTTACTTAAACAATGATGGTACATTTGTATCTTCATAACATTGATTGAAATTTTTGGTGATTTAACACAAAGTAACTCTGCTATTACATTGACAAGCGAAGTTAAGTAATTTTTATGAATAAATCCTCTTTTGTACAGACTAAATTACATACATGTATGTGTTAAATCACCCAAAATTTCAATCAATGTTTTGAATATACCATCATTGTATGAGTAAGTTTATACCCAGTGGAAATAATTAATTCTGCTATTACGCTGAAAAGCGAAGAAGTTACTGTGAATAAATCGGATTCCTCTTTTGTTCAGATTAAATATGGACCAGCTAGGAGGTATAGAACTGGATTACACTGGAGCCAAGAAGAGGAAGTGGCTGTGGAAGGATCAGAACACCCACGTACACGCTCCTCCCTTCCAGCCGATCCACTTCCTGCTGAACCACTACATCGGGGTCAGGATCCTGGCCCAGGAGAGAATGGTGCTAGACTTCAGTGCTGGAGACAGGGGAAAGAGGTTCAATGTGGGGGCAAGACTTAAGGTGAGACTCATAACTAACTGTTCTAGAGGTTCAATGTGGGGGCAAGGCTTAAGGTGAGGCCTTGTATATTATCCACAATGTATGAATAGATGAAATGTAGCACCTTTGGTGTAGTCTAAATGCAATGTGTCTTTCTGAGTCAAAAATTCCAACAAATGTGATTGGTAATTCTTAGAAATATGATACTCTTATATAAAATCACTGATTATGTAAATTTTGACTTTGCTACCTACTAGCAATTGTCCTGACAGAAAACAGACACATTTTAAAGTTATTAGGTTCTAGTTGCAAAATACCCGGTACACATGTACCATTTAAATCAAATTCTATATACACTGAAATTGATGCATGTCTTCATTGTTATTTGTTTGCAGAAAATCAGAGTTGAGTAAGTTGTATCAGGAATGATAAGCATTTTATATATATCTCATTTTAAAGTTATCTGAAAATTGAAACTAGCTTATTCTAGAGTAATTCTAAATTTCAATATTTTATATTATAATTTCATATTTTAATCAGTGGCATTTGAAAGTGATGTTACATGTAACTGGCTTATTTTATGCATTTTTGAAGTTTGATTACAAAAATAAGTAATATAGAAAATGAAAAAAAAACAAACCATTTACCTGTGTGTGGAATTAACTTTATTTTTTTTACACATTTCTGTCATTGTAGGAAAATGTTGGACAAAGTGGCCACATTATTGAAATTCCCCAAATCTCCCAAAATTGACAAAATACTGCCTCCACTACATGTGACATCCAAGGCTCTGAAAACGGAACGTCTGAGGCAGGAACGAGCCAATCAAATCGCAACGCAGGAGGCCAAGAAAAACAAACAGGCCCCCATCCCCGCCATAAGTTAGAGAATCCATTCATCATTGTTTCCCATATCTGTGTTCAGTTGTGTCAGTAAAGGATCGTATGCTTTTATTGAAATTCGAGAGACTCTGTGTGTGATCTAACTATTATTCTGGTATAAGTGTTTCCTTGTAAAAAAGATATATATTTATTTCTCATCTGCAGGTTTGAATGGCAATATACTAGTATATAGTTATATGTATAAGGAATTCAGATATTTATACATTTATTGAAGCACACACGCTGCCAAATCTTGCTGCTTTTATTGTATATTCCGCAGCAATAAATTACGTGTTTTACGTTAGTGTACTTTACTCGGCTTAATATATACCGTTCACTGTATTCAGTCTTGCTTGTAGCTCAACATTTCTGTACTAGTCACATCTGTGTTTTTCCCCTCCGTCCTTTATTATATTTTTCCGCTGTCCATTACTGTATTTTAGTTACCCTGATATTGTTCAAATTTTTTGTTTTTGTTTACACTTTTTGTATATCAATGTAGCTATATTTATCTGTGATATTTGCATTTATCAATGTTCGTTGTTTGTTACTCAACATATTGGTTGTTGGAGTACTTTTTATGAATGGTTTAAATGGCCGTCATTCATCATTGTTAAATATTTTATGACACATATCACTATTTTGCTGATTTTAAAGAATAAATCAGGGGGATTGGGTAATTTTTTTTAGTCCACACATTCCATTGCGTCAAATAACTTTGTAGAAATCTTTGTATCACATTATATTTGTGGAAACACGTCTTTTAATGTACTGCTGAGCTTATTAAATACCTAGCTTTATTCGGAGATACTGCTGACAAAAGTTTATAATTAACTTTAGAGTTTATAAATTAGTTGTTTATATTTTTGGACTAAGTTTACGGAGTAATCAAATGCTATACAGTATTATAAAGCATGATGTTTAAATGTTTTGTAATAGATTTATTGTAAAAGCAGAGTCATTTTCCCCTTTATGGAATTTATCCTAGAATTGTGAATTTTCTTTGCATATCAAGCATTATATAAAAATTTATTTAAATACTGAAGAAAATGTTGTCATGATGTTTTTGAAATCAAAGGGGTTATTTCTTATGCAGTAACCTTTTTGTTTGCCCCATTTTAATTTGCCAAAACTCATCTCATGATGTCAATTATTGATTTCAGTTGTGATAGAAACAAATATTAATTGTCATTGGCTGAACATGATGTCACAGCATAAAGGCGTAAATATTCAAGATTATGTCAATTTATGTGATCAAGCAGCCACAGGTAGGAGAGAGCTATTTATAATGCAGACTCTGAACCATTGCTAGAGAAAATGTGTGAGCAAGAAGTGTAAATTGAAATTGAAATCATCAACAATTTATAGGTTTAACCGTTTTAGGTAGATCTCACCTGGATTAAAATTATATTAAATAAACTTTTCTTCTCCAAACCCATTGAAACGGCATGAATAAGAAACTTCTTAACATTTTTAGCTCACCTGAGTCGTAAACTTTTCGCATTTTCATCTTCTTCTCAAGAACCACTGGGCCAATTTCAACCAAACTTGCTACAAAGTATCCTTGGGTAAAGGGGATTCAAGTTTGTTCAATTGAAGGGCCATGCCCTTTTCCAAGGGGAGATAATTATGAATTAGAGAAAAATTAATGGCATTGTTAAAAAATCTTCTTCTCAAGAACCACTGGGCCAGGAAAGATGAAACTCATGTGGAATCATCCTCAGGTAGTGTAGATTCAAGTTTGTTCAAATCATGACCCCCGGGGCTAGGGTGGGGCCAAAATGGCCGACCCAAGTTTTACATAGGAATATATAGGAAAAATCTTTAAAAATCTTCTCAAGAACCACTGGGCCAGGAAAGATGAAACTCATGTGGAATCATCCTCAGGTAGTGTAGATTCAAGTTTGTTCAAATCATGACCCCTGGGGCTAGGGTGGGGCCAAAATGGCCGACCAAAGTTTTACATAGGGATACATCGGGAAACCTTTTAAAATCTTTTTCAAGTACTTCAAAGCCGTGATTAGTGATATTTACTGAGTATATGGAATCATCCTCAGGTAGTGTAGATTCTAATTTGTTCAAATCATGACCCCCTGGGGGGTTATAATTCAAGCCCTCCCCCCCCCCCTCAGTAAACTCAGTTCTGATCTGATTTGTGCTTTGTGCTCATGTGAGCACTGTGGCCCCTGGGCCTCTTGTTATTTAAATAAGTATGTTGTATATTGCATTAACAAAAAATCAAATTGCATTTTTTGGCACTGATATTGAAGAGCATGTTTTGTAGTTTTATTCTCTTTCATACTACATAATTATATTAATAAGTTAAAAATAGAAAATAACACTGACAGACAGGTTAAAATGACAATTTTTATTTAGAATTTACATGTGCAAATGCAGGTATAAACATGATGAAAGATTTTGTAAGGAAAGGTTGTAATGGTTACAAAAATTTGATTTTCACAATTCCAATCCTTACAATGAGGTTTTGTGCATTGCTGACAATCGAAGATTCCAATACATTTTTGTTTTCACTTAATTTACAAGAGAAATACAGAATTCTAAAGCATTCATAATGTGTTCACTTAACATGTGCAAATAGAAATCAACAAAAAACAATAACAGAGTGCGGTAGTGTGTGTAACAGAAAATTGATTGATTTCTCATGCATTGTATGACCTGAATTTCTACACATACACCAAGTTGGTCTATTTCATGTCAACTACTGTAGATTCCTAAATATACGCGTGGAATTAATTATTGCGCAATTTTGCGAAAAACACCACATGCGAAATAAAATTACTCGCCTTTATTTTTATGGTGCTGAAATCTATGTTAAAACTCTTGATCAACCGTCCATTTGCGAATTCTTATTCTAGCGACTTGCTGTTGAAGAGCCAATTCACGATAAAAAGTACTCACGAAAAATAAGGAATCTACAGTATCAATGATATACAATAGAAATTACAAAGGATGATAATGAAATAAATAGATAAATATAAATTTCACTCAAATATCACAGGCTCATCTAAATAAATCAGTTCAGAGTATAAGTGGCATCCATGAAGTTTTACAATTTTTAAGAATATCTCAAGTTTCTCTCAGATTCAAAACCTGTTCAATTCACTGGTATAAAGTACACCATATTATACAACAAAAGTCAAGGCATACACACATAATCACCAATACTCCTGACTTTGATCATATACCCCATGTCAGGTACATAAACTGACAAAAACATCTGAGACATAGAAGTCCTCTGTCCTATAAATAGGCTAAATTTCCAAATTGCACTTCATCTAAGATATCACAGAAATTCCCCCTTTGGCTGAGTGGAATCACCCTGTTCATCCATTAATCACTGAACACAAGAACACAGTACTCTAATGACGAATTCCCCATCACCTCTTGACATTGTACTTGCGGAGTGTGGCCTCTGTGCCTATTTTTAGCTGTTCTATGTGCGAGTCAATTAGTCTCTCGAGTTCTCTTGCTCTTTGATTTTCTGCCGCTAAAAATCTCTCTGAGACAGAATTCCTTGAATGCGAGTCCTGAAAAAATAAGAAATGCTTTTCATCAAATGACTACAAAATACAAAATATTTTACTTCAAGTCAGAATTTGACCTATGGAGTACCACTCATTTGTGTCTCAAACAAGTTTTGTTTCAGAAAATTAAAATATTCATTTTGCTTTATATCCTGATAATTTATATATTATTTATTTCAACAATTTGGAAACACAGTGCCAATTACAAAGTTCTATTTTACATTAAGTTCAAGCATGACTTTCGTCTAGCCAAAGCTTTGTTTTTTAATTTTGCAAATTATGCCATCATCATCTTTTATGTAATGTTCAAAATTTGTGGATGGATATTCAATTACATTCTCAATTCAAAACTCTTGAAGGCATAAATTCAGGAAGAATATTTTTTAATGACCCACATTAAGGTATTTAAAGGAAATTCATTTGTTTTGATATACAGATATTTTTTTTTACCTCTACATTGCCATAGTCGTCATTGAGTGCATAGTCGTTGACACTCTCTGAGATGGACATAGCCTGACTGCTGAGGACGGTCTCAAAACTGTTATCTGCCTCATGGTGAACCTCCCCATCACCATTAGCCCGAGTCCCTCCTAACTCTACGTCGTAATGGTCAATACCGCTCACTGGCTGACCTGAACGTGGAAAACAGATGCTCAGAATAATTGTTACATAGAGGTTACATTCATGCATGTTTTACTCTCATAGCATGAAATGATACAGCTAGAATCATCATTTTTCAGGATAGGAAGGTGGTGGGGGTGTCAATATTCATGAATTTTGTGGTTCACCTATACCCATGAATTTACAGCCCCATATGATTCCCTGATTTTTTTTTTACATACAAGTTGCCTATGAAATTAGTCCCCTTGAAGCAGTGAACTTGCCCATAAACTCAAATCTACATTTAAAATGATTTCAAATGCCCTCTTTCACTATTTTTTAAATATAATTATTTTTCAAGTGCTGTGACGATTTGAGTATCATGACAGTGTTAATTTCAGTACAACATACAAGCGAGTATTCCTAACGTACTGTAGTTACTGTTTCGTTCCATGTCGAGCTGTTCCTCTAGGCGGGCCTTCTGACTGCGTAAGTAGCTGATCTCCTCCTCGTATCGCTGTACGGTGGAGTCCAATCTCTCCTGGACCGCGTGTAACTTCCTCTGGGAGTCCTCCTCCAATCTCTGGAGTCTTCTGTCAAAGAAAAATTATATCATAAATTTACAAATTTCTTGCACCAGTGAGAAAAAAAAATCTTTTATTATTTATAAATGAGATTTCAAACATTTTGCTCTGATATTTGCGACATTTGAGGAAACAGATGTATCTCTGGTAATGGTTCCAATGCCAAAATATTGCTTTTAGATCTGATGATGATGGACTTTTCCAAATTTATCAGAACAAGACATAACTCACCTATCACCTTTAAACCTGATGCTCTGCGCAGACATTTGGGTCCCTGAGAGCCAATCATTATTCACCTATCATCTTTAGACCTGATGCTCTGTACGGATATTTCTGAGTCCCTCATGCTTTGTGCAAATATTTCTGAATCTCTCAGAGCAAATCATTACTCACCTATCATCTTTAGACCTGATACTCTGCGCTGACATTTCCGAGTCCCTCAGCGCTAGGCGTAACTGTTCCTCAAACTTCTCCTCCATCTCGTTCATTTCCTCCCGCAAACATGACAGGTCGTCCCGCAACTGACGATTTTCTTGCTGCGACAAACAAACAAGAAGATCAGTAAGTACAACTGAGTACACATGTACTATGGAGAAAATACACAATTTTTAAATAAAAACACATATATATATATTTATTTTATTTTTTCTCAATTTCGATTCTAGTTCCTAGCAATCCAAACAGTAATTTATGAATCTTGATTATTAATACATGCAGTTCTTCAAAGCAATCTACTCAGGATTCATGACATACTGTATAGTGAATAGCATTATGTTCTCTACATTAAAAATTCAGATCTTCAGATTGAATCTAAAATGGAAACAGTCACTGAAAGTATGAAAATGAAAGAAGAAAAATAAGTAAAAGGTGAAAAATGAAGAAAAAATAAAATGGGGAATTAATACACAACAAACCAAACTTAATTAAATATTTAATCTCACACATATTTCATTCTAAAAACCATGAATTAATAATTCATTAATTGTGAAACATATTAACCTCTGACCCTGAAATTTCCACTATTTTGTACACCGAATAGTAAAAAAAAAACAAACACATTATATACTAATATGTTATATCATAATATCGTTTCCTCTCCCCTTTAGTTTACCTCCAGTTTCATGATGGTTGTGGTGTAAGCATTTTGTACGGCCGTAAGGTGATCCTGAACCTTGTCAAAATCGGAATCGTTTTTGGCTTGTTGTAAAATGGTCTGACGTAAGTGGCGGTTTTCTAGCCGGAGTGCTTCAATCTGTGCATTTGCAACCTAGTTAAGGGGAACAGAGTTCAAACAACAAACAGAGTTAGGAGCAGTGAAAAACAGCAACAAGTTAGAGAGTTAGTGTCAGGGTGGCAGGCCATGTTACAGGGGGGATGATAATGTGATTGAAAAATTGTGAAAAATGCTGATAAAAATATGAAAATCTAGGTAGTGCTTCTTCTTGGTAAAAGTAGAGCTGTAACAATTTCTGTTTATACTTGCATTCAGCAGATTATCAAAATTTAGAATTTATTGCAATTGTCCATACTTTCTTTAAAATTAATCACTAAATCATTGAGACCGAGAAGCATTTAATAAATATCTTGACTATCATTATCTGAAATTAAGTGTTAATATAATGTAACTTTAATGAATACACTTTTTGAAATTTCTTTCTACTCTAATAACCACAAAAGATATCTGTAAAATTATGGAAATGAAAACTTGAGTGCTAGTGACGAAAACAATGTGTGGGTGCATGATTGCAAATGAGCAATAGCAGAACAGTGAACGATTTTTTGTACAGACCTGTAGCTCCGCTTGTCTTCTGTCGAGAGCCTCGACCTCATTCCTCAACTGGGCCTCAACATGGCTGGATTCTTCACTTAAGTTTGCCATTGTTTTGGTGCGATCATGCAGGTCTTTGGTCAGGCGTGTAATCTCTGTCTTTAATCCTTGGACCTCCGATTCGTAGGCGTCTTTCTGGGAGAGCTGTAGCTCTCTTAATTTGCTGACTTCTGCTCGCAGCCTCTTCACTTCACCATTTTCCAACTTTGTCAGCTCAGTTTTCTGTGAAACAAATGAAAAAATGCCTAAAATTTAGCAATCTAGCAGTTTTGAAAAATGTGAATAATTTTCAAATCTTGACATTTCTAATCTTTATGTGATTTTTCTTCTCTTTTTTTTTTTTTATTAAAACTGAACGAAAGTAGCATATAGAATAATGATCAGGTTGCAACATATCAAAACCTCATTATCACAATATTTAAATCCAAAACTGAAACCTATAAAATCTATCTGGCATTGTAATACATGTAACACAAATATCAATAATTTTCAGTCCCGGTTGACCTGTCTGACCTTTTGTTCTAGTTGATCGGTCAGCCTCTCACAGTCCTCCACAGCTCGCTGGAGATGTGACTGTAAGCTAGACAACTCTTCCTTCATTTCCTTCTCATGTTTTCTGCACATCCTACAAACAAACAAATACACCTTACAGGTCACAATCATTATTTTCAACCAATCGCCTTCAAAGAGAGGCTTTTCATTTAATCTAACAAAAATTTCCATTCTTATTAGGCTATTCTCATGTCTGAGCATTTGTCAGTAAGCAGTACATTCTAGTGGCTATCAAGAGTTATTGCCCTTTACCTAGCTTCTTTACCACCATACGCTTTAAAAATTATCATTTTCGAATGAACATCATCGTAAATCAGTTTTTCAATTATTCTAACATAAAGCTTCCATTCTTATTTGGCTATTCCCATATCTGAATCTCTAACAATAAGCAGTACATTACAGTGGCTATCCAGAGTTATTTCCCCTTACCTGGCCTCGTCTTTGGCGTCCTCCAAGGATTCCCTCATCAACCGAATCTGGTCACTCTCCTCCTTCTGTCTTATATCACTCAGAGACCTGCAAAATATTTGTTAAAAAATCATATCATTAACTACATCTACAATGTCGATTTAACTGCTTATATACCATATAAGTGGAAATTTTAGCGAGACGCAAATTTAGCGATTTGTCCTTAAAAAGGGGTATTTTATTTTTAGCAAGATTTAATATTACTGATTTTAAAATGCTCAATAAAGAAGCTATTACAAATAAAACGCAATTAATTTTTAGCGATATTCAATTTTAGCAATAGAATTCCAAAATATATGTGAGAAACTAAATACATGTACCATGTAATCTTCAAAGAAGCGCCACATATGAACCAAAATTTATTTTCATGACACTGAAGACCGTGTAAAAACCATGAGATCAACAATCCATTCATTAATTCTTGTTCTCACAATTTGACGTCTGGCTATTACATGAAACTACGTTTTCAAGGAATTAAGAATCTACAACATACTTTAGTTAAAAGACTTGCAGACCTATCTAAATCACAAACTGTGTTTTACTTTTCTATACAGAGATACAGAGGGAGATAACTCACTTGATGATCTCGTCTTTTTCTGCCAGCGTTTGCTCCATCTTTGTCATACTCTCACTGTGGAGGCCTTTATCCTCATCTAATGCCCTCAACAGGTCCTCTTTTGTCCTCAACTCACTCTCCAGCTCTGCTTTCTCCTCCTCATAGCTCTATAGAGAGTACATTAAAAGTACCATGTATGATACAGTAAACTAGGCTTATAATGAAATGCCAGGAATGGACAATTTATCTTTGTTATAAACGTAATTCATCATATCCATTAAGCTAAAAAAATTTACATATTTTAAAGCTAAGGAGAATGAAAATCATGTTCATTGTGAGCATCATTTCATTGCAAGCTTCTTTGCAGTAAGAGTGTTTTAGTGTAATTCATATTTCGTTTCTACACAGAAAAAGTGTTTTTACCAAAAGTCTCTGTGCAATATTTTAAAATGTTTCTCAAAATGATCTAAATTCCAGTAACAATGAAATCACCAGCGTCAAAGTGCCTTAATTTTATAAAAGAATAAATACTGTATTTCCTAATTCTTGGTATATTCAACCTATAGTCACTTACTCTGATTGTGTCGTTGGCCTTCTTGAGGTCGTTGAGAAGTTTTTCGTTGTCGTCCATGGCTTTTTTGTGAGCTGTCATGGCATCATCCAGGGAGGATTTCAACTTCTCCACCTTAGTCTCCTGTGGGAAAGAAAGCATTCACAAATTAAAAGACAGACAATACCTAAAGAAGAATCTAGCTACTGAATACTTCACATATATTGTGTTGTTTCAATACTTTTTTTCTTTTTAAAATGAGAGAGGAGGAAAATTGACAGCTAAATTTATAAACACCTAGCCAAGTGCATCTCTTGTGAATTTCATGAGAAAAAGAGTTTTACTCGAAAATCCCACAAGATACATTTTCTGTGTACAAAATCTACTACCAGAGTAAATACAGACAACCAAAGATGACAAAAGAGAAAATATATATTAATTATCAAGTGCTTTGATGATAATATTAAGACACTGCACACCTGTAGATGTAGACTAGTATATACATATATATACCTGTGATGTTAGTGTATCGTTAGTCCGCTCTAACTGCCCCTCTAACTGAGTTATCTGATTTTTGAGACTCAACTCGGTCGAGTCGAGCATCTGTTTTCTGCGATCGAGTTGAGATTGGTAAGTTTGGGACTGGCTCTGTGAAGATGAAGGGTGAGTGATAATTCTATGACCGTGAACTTAAGTTCTCAATCGTGCATTACATGAGGTGCTTATAGATTAATCATATTAATGTGCATGCCATATACATGTTTATATTATTAAGTGAAATGATTTTCATCATTTTTGCTGGGACATTGAAATAATGATTTTTTTGACAAGACTTTTCTCACTACATTGTTGATGCAGCTTCAAAATTTTCCATTTTAATATTTAGAAAGTATGGTAGTTGAACTTTACAAAGTTGGAATTTTATTCCAATATTTCTTGGATAAGTTCAATTCAATTTACACTAAATATTCCATATAAATGCATTCAAATGTCTAGAAATTTATTAGTCAGTACACATATTGATACATTGTACATGCAATAACTGACTATTCTAAGCAGTTGAAATTTGAGGTAAGTACAAGACTAGATGATCCACTCCGACTGTCATTACATAGAGAGATCACAGCCATACCTGAATGAATTCACATTTCTCTGTCAGGGCTTTTCTCTGGGACTCCAGAGCCTCAATCTGCTTCTGAAACGTCCTCCTCTGTAACTCCCAGTCCTTGGCTTTTTGTCTATACTCCTATAAAATGTAAATGTCATAGTCTGTTAGCTTCACCTTCAAGTGTACACTACAAATAATGTAAAAGTCTGTTAGCTTCACCTTCAAATGTACTCAGAATGAGCAAGAAATGTCAATGTCTAAACATGTTATTTTTTTCTCCTTCAAATCACAACAGTGACTGTAATCTTATCTACTCTCACTTTCACTCTTTCAAACTTGTGGGTATTGATTAAATATACATTTTACCTAATACCATTTACACTTCTCACAGGAAAAGAAAACATACAACTTTAAAAGATTTGTTGACAATTACAAGGTCAGACTTGTTTTACAAGTTTCATGGAAGCAAAAGACGTAAAATAACTTGAATTCATTGTGTGTTGATTCCCATGCTTATATTTTACATTTGGACTTATTTCATGGGTAAGTACATTGTTGATCTCCTATCCCACTGTGTCATTGTCCATTAAATCATTGTCACTTGAGCTGTCTCAGTTCCTCTGTACTTATTACTACATGTATCTTGTTGAGTCATCCTATCTCGCTATTACAGTCCTGTAAATCAGAGTGACTTGAGATATCTCAGTGTCTCTACTTACTAGTGTCTTGTTGATGAGTGAATCTATCTTGCTTTTACTGTCCTGTAAATCAGAGTGACTTGAGATATCTCAGTGCCTCTACTTACTAGTGTCTTGTTGATGAGTGAATCTATCTTGCTTTTACTGTCCTGTAAATCAGAGTGACTTGAGATATCTCAGTGCCTCTACTTACGGGTGCGTCGATTTACCCAAAAGGACCCAAAAGGAAAAAAGGACCCAAAAGGACCCAGGAACCCAAAAGGACCCAAAAGGAACCCAAAAGGACCCAAAAGGAAATCAGAAGGACTCGAATTAATATATTATAATACATTGAAAATTTATAATTTGAATTAAATTATGAATATTATATTATAAATTTACCTAAAAATTGGCAAAAACATACATTTATATTGTTGCAACTTTTCTTAAAGAAATAACATACGACTTTTATAACACATCAATCATTAAATCTGGTCAAATATGCTTTGATTTCTTTTAGCTGAATTTAACAAAGTGCACTGTATTATTCTATTTCTCCTTCTGTTTTATTATATCTTATTATATGATATTTGATAAATAAAGAAATAAGTTTATTTAATGACATGTTCTAGGCATATGGTATCGGGGATGGGTGAGGGTGGAGGATGGGGGGGGGGGGGGGGGGGGCTCCCACCTCAACCCAAACACGCACTTTACCCTCAAAAAACTAGTTTTAGTTTTAATAAAATATGAAAGTATTCATTATATATCCATTTAATCTCTTTATTTCAAGTCCTTTTGGGTCGTTCTTAATTTCCTTTTGGGTCCTTTTGGGTTCCTTTTGGGTCCTTTTGGGTTCTTTTGGGTCCTTTTGGGTCCTTTTGGGTAAATCGACGCACCGTCTACTTACTAGTGTCTTGTTGATGAGTGAATCTATCTTGCTTTTACTGTCCTGTAAATCAGAGTGACTTGAGATATCTCAGTGCCTCTACTTACTAGTGTCTTGTTGATGAGTGAATCTATCTTGCTTTTACTGTCCTGTAAATCAGAGTGACTTGAGATATCTCAGTGCCTCTACTTACTAGTGTCTTGTTGATGAGTGAATCTATCTTGCTTTTACTGTCCTGTAAATCAGAGTGACTTGAGATATCTCAGTGCCTCTACTTACCAGTATCTTGTTGCTAAGTCTTCCTATCTCGTTATAACTGTCCTGTTAATCAGTGTGACTTGAGATGACTCGGTGTCTCTGTACTTGACATATCTCAGTGCCTCTGTACTTACCAGTATCTTGTTGTTGAGTCGTCCTATCTCACTGTTACTGTCCTGTAAATCTGTGTGACTTTTGTCCTTATCTCGCTGATGGTCTTTGATCTGTTTCACGTGCTTCTTACTCAGTCTCTCATAATCTCTCTTTACTTTCTGAACCTAAAGGAAATATTAATGAAGAGCTTTCATGTGAGTCATGTTTAGGGCGCAACAATAAATTCCACATCACACCTGACAGTTGGATTATTTGGTGCTTTTTGGGGGGGATTTTACTCAGTTTGTAAGAAATTAAAAAGTCAGCATTTCTTATTTGGATGTTTCACCACAGTCTCCATGAAAATGGCATTTTAAACTTGACCTTTGATCTCTCTATATGACCTTGACCTTGCATAAAATGTAAAGTTCCAGAATTGCAAACACAGAGAGAGAATATACATATGTTGAAATATTATGTCCCCTTTTTTCTTCAATCTGGTGGCATAAAAAACTGAATTACTAAAACTTTAAAATTTTACAGGCATTGGCCGCAGGTAAAAAGAAAACCAAAACTAAAATAAAACCCCTACCTCATTTTTGAGATTAGTCAGTTGCTGCTCATAACAAGTGACCAATTCTCTGTGAGATTTTTCCATTGTCTCAACCTGAAGTCGTAAATGACCAATCTGTAAAACAAAACAAAATTAAACTTAATTTAAATGGTAATGAAGAAATTTCAATTAAGTTTAAGTAAAATAAGATTACACAACATGTTTTTATTTTTGTTTTTATGATCATCAGGAAATACATTTTTTTTTGTGCATCCTTAAAAAGCTGAAAGGAACAAATGTTTTTTTCTATCCTGAATACAAAGACACATTTTTTTTTGGTTTGGTTAAAGGTTAAGAAAGCTCAAAGACAGGTACCAAGTTGCACTTCATTCTCAAAAGACAATAAACATGCAATAAATGTACAGGTAAGTCAAATCTATCCTAAAAAATTCCCTGCATCCTTAGCCTCCTACCCACCCAATCTGGTAATTCAAACATCAAATTGTCGTCAAAAAAAGTAACCTCTTAAAAATAGGAAAAGAAAATTCAAAATACCTTTCTCAGTCTTTGCGAGACCTTTATTTATGAAGGTCACGTGTGCAGTCTGTACTTAATTCCCCTAATTAAATCCACTCTGTGATTTTTTGGCTTTGTTTGCCCCCGACGTTGTAAACCGATTAGCCAATGACTGCATTCAAGTTTGTGAAGATGTCAATTAATTCCCGATCAGAATTAATTTAATTCGAACATGTTGAATATATTTACAATATATAAAGCAGACATGTGCATTACATAATCATCATTGTAATGTTTTTTTTTTAACTTTATGCCAAAAAAGAAGAGATGATAGAATATTTTTTTTTGTATTTGACAATGATTTCAAAGCACACAGTGTTGTCAACATGTGAAGTCATTTTTAAACCTGCATGATGTCTCTTTATGCTCCCGTACAAGGAGGTTCAATGGCCTATAGTTTTTAATGATATTTTCTTGTAGAATGGATTTTAATTGAATTTTAATTTAAATCTAATTGAAAGAAGAGGTAATTATTAAATGTGAGAAGCAGGCTAAAAAAAATGATACCCCTTGCTCCCATGTGAGTATAATGGCAAATTCCCCATGCTTTGCTAAAAGGATCGAAATTCACAATATCAGTACAAACAAAAAGTAAAATAGGTGTTCAATGGCACTATGTAAAAGATTCTAAGAAAGATTCATTAAATTTCATTCTGTGGAGATGCAGATACATGTAAGAGGGAATAAGTGGGATTTAAAGGATGTACGGGTGGGGACAACCCTAACACTGAATTCCACTAATTTTCAAGTTGGGGGGGATAACAACTAGAAATCTGCTTAGCTGAACTGACAATGAAACTGATTAAAGGGAAAAGGGAGAGGGGGCACTTCTAGGACAGATCTGACTTAAGATGACTTTTTGGACATCGAGAACTATTTAGAGGGCCGAGCTACCCTGGGATAGAATATACATAGTCCATACATAATTAGGTATCAACCCATTCCGTTACTCATTAAGCTGGTAAGAATTAAAACATGGGACACATACAATGTAATCTATAGTGTTTCACAAATGACATGTCCCTTAATGAGCACAAAAATTCTCAAAAGATTATTTTTTTCAAAAACCCAGTCAATTCTCACCAAAGGAAAAGGAATGATCTGAAATATTCATCAATAATCATTTGACCAGAAGCTTATCAGATAAACAACTATAGATGTGTCAAGCATGGATTAAACCCCGGCTCTGTATTTCTGAACTAAATTGCAATGGGCAAGAGACTTATTTGTCAGCAAGATTACGAAGATTTACACAAAAGAACTTTAAATGTGGAACTCTTCCAACAAAGTCCTTCAAATATTTAAAACCTGCTGACAATTTTGTCAAATGGCAAATCTGCACAAGTTCGAAATTATTAATAAAAAAAATGTTTCAAATATTTAAACTAGCATCATTCAAGTCATTTGTAATAATTATTAAGTCCATTTGCTCACTTAATACTATAAAAGAGGATAAATTAACAAAGTAAAATTTTGCAATTTTTATGCAAGTGTTTGCAAGGGTATTTTTGCCAATTGAAAGTTAAAAATTACTTTTATTTTTGTATTGTAAGGTAGCTTTCTATGAAACTTCTGGTGGTGAAAGATTTTGCAAAACCTAACATGTACATTGCAAAATTTGCAAAAAATTTCCCCATGCAATATTTTCATATTTACAGAATAATCATTTATAAGAAAGGCTATAATTTTCTGTTAAATGACATTCAAATACAATATTATGATGTCAAAAGCACATGTTATATGGACAACGACCCTCTCCCTCTTTGTTTCCTTGTGCCCAAAAATAGAGACATCTTTGTACATGCAGACAAGTAAACACAGATTTTCCTAAACAAGTGTTACTTTTAATACATTTCAAGACATTTCTCAGGCTAATATCAGGACATAAATCATTCTGATTTTTCCAATTTATGAATAATTGAATTAAAAGTTACTGTATACTGGTTTCCCAATTTATTAATATGACTGAATGCAAAAAAATAATTAATGAAAATTTAAATTCTAATTAAATACGGGGCGAATTCAAAGAAAACAGTATGATTTCTTTAACAAAACTAGGACTGGGCGAATTTAAAACGGGGCAAAATTGTTTGCAAGAGTGAAAGGGCGAAAATAAGACGGGGCGAAAATAACCCCGTATACAGTATTTCAGTAGGAAGTTTTAAATTAAGACTGGCTCAAACTCAGTAGGACAAGAATTTTAATTGGACTTAACATGTACATGGCCATCATGCACACGCATACATACGAGCATTTGATTGCCTAATTTTATGAAGTTTACAGGTAATAACATACCAAAAGGGCATTGGGGATTATTTGGGAAACTTCTGTAATGGTTCCCATAACAAATAAAACCAATTTTCTTTGACCTTAATTTGCACAATGCATTTTAAATATTTAGAAAAGTTTTAAGCAAAGTTATTTAGAAACTGATCTCTTAAAAAAATCATCCCAGCCTGTGTTAATCAGGTGCCCTATGTAGATATCCCTACCTCTTTATGCTTCTGTTCAATAGTAGACTTCTGTAGCAGATTCTCCTTGTCCTTGATCTCCATTTTACTCTGAAGGCTCGTAATCTGGTGTTCCCAGTCCTTCTTCTTCGTGGCCATCATGATGTCAATCTGTTTCATCAATTCCTGAAGCTCCGCCTCGCAGCTTGCCGTTAACACTCCCTTTGGTAACCTACAATGTCGGTCCTCTCTCGCGTTAGTCAAGTTAATTCTACAGTGGCTTCCCTATCAGCTCCTTAAAAATCTTGCTTTATTTTTGCAGTGATTTACTGTGGCCATGAAAAATTCAATATAAGTTTCCAGACCAACCTAGATTTTCATTCATTGTTCACAATAAGTAAAACCAATATTGTCATTACATATTTTAACAAGTTAAATGCGATTTTTTTCCTTTTAAAGGTTTACCAGTACCAATATTTAAAAGTGTCAGTTTTATGTTGAACTTTCAATACCTTCTAGGATGTACTAGCTGCTTAATAAGACATTCTATATCGTCAAATTGAAAATGACAAAATTAATACTTTAGCTATACTAAATCAATCACAGATCAATCAATTAATCAGGTATATTGATCTTAGTATTCACTTACTCTGCTTCAGTGAAATAGACACAGGCACCCCCTGGGTACCACTCAGTACAACTTTTGTAAGTGTACATTTATACACCCTCAAATTCACATATCCCAATACACACACATAGGATCATACCGACACCCTGCGGCTTCAGTCTGATTTCCAGGCTAAGCGATCTACCCACAAATACCTGGGAGCTAATTAAACGGCTCGTATGAATTGATTGATTCATTAAAATTCAGGAGAACTATAGCTACAACTGATAATTTAGAACACCTCACCTTTTATTCATTGCGTATTTAAACAGTTCTTCCATACTCCGTTGACAAGAGATAAAAATCACCAACTCTGACAGTTTCTACAGCTAAGACATGTCAAGTCAGATCTTAAAAAAAATCCATAATTCTGTGTCCTATCAAAGATCCTCTTTTAAAAGCACACTAAGACAAATCCAATTTTGTCTTCCAAAGAATTGAGCCCGTTTGAAATGTTAGATGACAATTGATTTTTCTTGTAGATAGAAATCAGCAAGAGTGAATCAATAGTCATTAAAATTCAGTGTTTAATGACCGAAGATCAAACAATGATCAAACAGTTTTGTTTTAATGTTTAAAAAAAGACAAGGTAAAAATGGGTACACTAAGAGAGATATGGAGATCGAACTATAAAAATACCAAAGGCGCACTAGCTTGTCTACCTATAAAAACCTCAATTTATGATTTCAGAAATTGTTCTAACAAACATGATATATATGCTAGCCTAGCAGGGATAGCACACTTCTTACCTTTAAAACAATAGTGAAGTGCTAAAGTGCTCTCTCTCTCTCTCAATCTTTCTCTCTAAAACTGTGACATTTACAAGCGTGACTTGAAAAATCATGTGCACACCAAAATAATTCTAACCCTCAAAATAGCTCATCTTAGCCATTGTTTTAGCATTTTTTTTCTTTTCACAAATTGTGCAAAGCATTCATACAGCAGACAGCATTGTAGGTGCTTCCTATGGGCTAAATGAATCTGCACTTTTAAATTGCCCTTGACCTCAACACACAAGGTTATGTGCTAAGAAAAATTTTGTGTATGTTTGTGTTTTTTAGCAATATCACACCAATCTTTTTGATTACTCACTCGTCTTTCTCAGTCATTTTACGAAAAAATTACATCTCGGAGGAAATTAAGCTACAAAAGATTTCTCTGTGTATTAATATTATATGCTACAAATTTAACACGTTTGGATTATGCCATATAATACACGTCCACCTACTAACCCCGTTAACGAAAAATTAGGAACAATTGATTTCAAAATCTTAAACGAGGCTTGAAATGTCATGATGTTCTTAATTAATTCTCATTACAGTATGTGTCAATATCAGATGTATTACTGCAGAGTAAGTAGATTAATTACTGGACCGATTAACGAATAAGCTTAATCATCTTAATACCCGGTATGTCTACCAGCAATATCTTGACTGAATGCAAAGGAACTGTTAACTACCCGGGTAATACAAGTTATCAAGTTTGGTAAAAATATTTCATGCACTACAAACAAACATCCACAAGAAAGAAACAATATAAACAAATGCAGTACATGTAATATCAAAATGTCCACGCAATTTTATCTTTTTGCATTTGCCATTCATAATTAAATCAATGAAAATTATTGAGTTCAATTTGATTCTAGTTGAAATTATTATTTCAGTTCACCTACAAATTAAGGCCTAGAAAAAAAATATGTTTGTTTCAGTTCAAAATTCACAGAAATCAGTACTGTAAACTGATTAAATACCATATTTTTAAATTATTTCAGTTCATCTACACAACAAACATTGAAATTTACTTTCTGCCTCATGTGAATTTTTTTTTGTTAGGATTGTCCTCAAATGAGTGAAAAGTTAAGATGAAGGAGGCCCACCTCTGATCTCTCTGTAGATCCACCCACAGATTTGAGATTCTGTCCATCCTTGTGTCATTGGGAGGGTCAGATGCCACCAGCAGGTTCTTCACCAACTCCCTGTACTCTGTAAAAGTAGGTAAATATGAGTACATGTAATTGTATATTACCCCCACCCCATATTCACACAAACTACTGTAATATCACATATTTTCAGGGGGTCAAATTTTTGAGGTTTGAAGAAAAAATATTGGTCTGTGGGGATTTGATTTCATGGTTGGAAAATGTATGTATAGTAGAAATGCATGTGAAATTTTACTTTTCACAGTGGTCATAAATTTTTGGGTTTCTCCACACCTTGAAAACAATGAAAAATTATTGTATTGAAAAACTGTATACAATGTTATTCATACAATCCACTGTAAAAATTAGCTTAAATTTTAGGTGTTCATAGCTGCTGTGCATTTAGATAAATTCATGCTAAAACATTTTAGCATAATTATTTGCAATTCTTAATACTCAAAGAGGAGCCTAAATAGAAATTCAACAATCTTTCAGTTTTCCATTTGCACAGATATTTTAATTAAAAGGTGATATATAACATATATTGTATACGGCAATTGATACCTTAGAAAGTAAACAGCTTTAGTTTTAATTATTCCAGGGTTATGACAAGGTACAACTACTAATGGCTAGATCGAAATCATCCAGTTGAAAAATTCAAACATGCACCCTATCTTAAACATGTTAAAGTAGTTCTCATACCTTATCTTGAAGTATCCGCTAGTCAATATCTTGCTTATCTATGTACCTATATGAAGTGAGAACATCGATAATTCATAAGGCGCAAACATTGTAGATTCCACACTTACTTGACAATTGACATTGATAAGATTTTACGACAGTTTTAGAGAAGCAGTTTTCAAACAGTAATCCAATCAAAGAGATTTACGGTTCCCACTTCTCAATGTCAACAAGAAAATTGACAGATTGTTATACACAAAGATCTTGACTTAGAGTTCTACCTTCGAATGTCTAACATGCTACAATGTTTAAAGAATACCTTTGCTAAATAAAAAAGACCTTTGTGTTCCGGGGAGAGAGAGAAATAAACGTCTGGCCAAGTGAATTAAATGCCTAACTTCTTTTACAAATTAAATTGAAGATTGAATGCACAATGCAATTAAAACACAATTTAATTGGTTTACAAGGTTTAAAGAAAAAAATCTTTTTGTATATAGGGACTGCACTTGATTTCAGAGGTGAAAATGAACAAGTCTTTACATTATTGTTACAAATATTTCCAAGCAAATTAAGCCATATATAATTTACAAATTAAATTATAAGAACCTTCAAAATCTGAGAAAAACATCTTTCCTGACTTACTTTAATACATGTATAAGTACCGTACGGTCTGATAATCTAACAGACATTGTAAACATGAAGTAAAAAATGTTGATACAGAAAACTCAAAAGAGAATGTGAATCAAGGCTAAATGAATAAAATTTAACTAACTGCTTATTCAACTAAGAGCCATCCAGCCAATGGTGAAAAAACTACGAAATGTTTGTATTTGGCATGTTTTCTACTTTTTTTGGGGGGGGGGGGGGGGCATGGCACAAAAGGTAATAGAAATTAGAATTGAAAAAAGCTCAGAATCGGGGCAAAACCACTAAGCATTAAATGTATTATTATTTTACATTTCACCTGTTAGGCTTAAAAAAAATTTTGTTTCTGTAACATTCCCAAAAAATCAACAATTAGGTCGGAATTTTTTTTTTTTTTTTTTGCTTATGAATGGTAAAACATACCCAGACTGAAAATACCAGGTGTTATATTTACAGTGGACACCCAACATGGCATCCAAAATGGCCGCCTAGCGGCAGAAAACGAACTTCAGAAAGTTGTAGGGGGAAACTGTTGTTACAATAATGATTACTCTTTATATTTAAGGTAAATTTACACTAAGTTGACATAATTTATGTCTCAAATTAAGCTACAAGCTATTTTTTTTTAATTTAATAAATGGAATCAGCTGATTGATCAAACGAAGTTTTGCCATTTGTCAGAAAAAAAAAATCCACCCGGGGATAATTTGAATGGGTCGGTCGGGTTACAGGAAACAAACATAATTTTTTTTTAGGCCTTACCAGGCTAAATCCTGATCTCTGAATTTAAAACAGGTACATGCATTTCGGGTAGAAATCGAAGTATATCTAGCAATATGCTTCAAAACTGAGTATTGAGTAGCAATTAAATGTTTTATCCCTAGTTCCAAAGATGCTTATTTTTATCAGGTCCAGTACAATCACTAGATTTAGCTACGTAGGTAGAATTACCTACGTAGCTTTATTTACCTACCTCAGGTAGCTTTATCTAGCTATTTCAATGTAACTTTTCAAAATTTTATTTTTTATTTAAAAGAGACAAAAAATCGCAATTAAGAGACTATTGATATTCATACTAGGGAGGCTTATAAAAACAATCCAAAGCAGAGATAGTTTAAACATTGCTGCGTTTGGACAATTTAGAGCAAAACATGTAATTCCATTGTTTGATTACTGTCTTCTCTCTCATGCTTGCGGTGAGGCATGACTGAGTATGATTACTTCACATTATGCTGAATGATTACTGACCTATTATCATGTTAACCGGAACTGGACTTCTTTGTCATTTAATTCAAGGAGTAACTGTTCTAACTGTCATACATAGCCCCAAAACTTTCAGAACTTTGATTGCAATTGCGCACAAAAGACATTTCTTCAAGAATGATTTTTTCCTGAGTTGTTTTCAGATGAGTTCAAAGTTGAAAATGATAACTGCATCAAAAGGATATTTTCTGCACACCCTGAGAAAAATGCTTTTTATAGAAATAAATTGAGTTGGTGTGTTACCTCAGGTAGGTAAATAAAGCTATGTAGGTAAATCAAGCTACGTAGCTAAATCTAGTGATTGTACCAGACCTGTTTATAGATATAACGTTAAACAAATTATAATAATTTCCTAAAGTTGCAGAAAAGTCAAAATATAATATACTTTAACTTACTTTGCCTTATCATGCTCATATATTCCAATTTTTGGAAAGATGCAAAAAATTTTTTTTTTTTTTAAAAAGATGAAAAAATGATACTTTTAAACATGTTTCTACCTGTTGGTTATGGTATGCCTTCATGACAGTTCATGCTGTTTACAAATATGTACGGAATTTTCAAGCTTGAATGCATTGTCAATAAACTAAATAAAATAGTTTTTACAGAAAAAGATATACATACCATTCACTAATTACAGATAAAAAGATGCAAGAAGTTTAAATAATTCCCTCTTTTTTTGTAAACACTCCGTTGACAAACAGAAAGTGGAGCATTTCCGGCGTTTACGACAATCACAAAGGGGGCGTGTCATATGACAAAGTGAAAGTTGCAAAAATGTTGTTGATGTTCGAAGACCAGCACAAGGAACACTTGTCGTTTCTTGCAAAAGTCAGTCCAGATGGTAAGCATTCATCGTTAATAAAAGTTACACATTTCTTTATTTTCCGTTGATTCGGCATGAACAGAAAATGTAGGCCTTCATCATTGGCCCATATTCTTTTAATAGAGCATGTAGGCTATATATGTGGGCTATATGCTCTATATGCCTGTCCAGGCTGTTGGCGTGAATGTCCGCCTGTCATTCATATAACATACAACACACTCACGGCCACTGTACAGGTACAATCACTTGATGGAAGAACTGTAGTTCTCATGCACTCGATTTGTCCAGGTTGCACTCTGATAAAAATTTAGAAGGGATACCCTTTTTAGCTTACCTGAGCCAAAGGCTCAAGTGAGCTTTTCTGATCACATTTTGTCCGTCGTCCATCCTTCTGTCCATCTGTAAACTTTTCACATTTTCGACTTTTTCTCAAGAACCACTGGGCCAATTTTGAACAAACTTGGTATCAAGCATCCTTGGGTGAAGGAGAATTTAAATTGTTAAAATGAAGGGCCAAGTCCCTTCACAAGGGGAGATAATCAAGAAAAGACAAAAATAGGGTGGGGTCATTAAAAAATCTTCTTCTCAAGAACCACAGGGCCAGAAAAGCTGAAACTTATGTGGAAGCATCCTGGGGTACAGTAAATTCTAAATTGTTCAAATCATGACCCCCGGGGGTAGGGCGGGGCCACAATGGGGAATCAAAGTTTTACATAGAAATTAGCTGCAGATCTGTAGCTCTCCGAAAAAAATATATTGATAGACCGGAGAGCTACAGTACCATCCATTGAAAAAACTGTATATTTATTGCGCACAAAAAAGTGCCCTCGGTTCCTAATTAATTCTACCGAATTCTTACCTAAATTCAAATAAGGAAAGATTTAATAATAAAAATAAAATTCCTTTATCTTCTATCAAGTACTCTCGTAGTTGACATCCGAACGAAGCATATTGGACCGAATTATCTTTGAAACCAAAATGGCAGTATAAATAAGCGAAATGTTCGATGATTACAATATCAAGGTCAGGAGGACTATTCACAGCAATTATGAGGAATGTTTGATTGTGGAAACAGTGAAAGAATATGTTAGGAACACATGGTTAGTAATTTTTTGAGATTACAGTTTTAAAAGCATGGAGAAATGAATCGATAACCGAGCACACTTTTTTGTGCGCAATAAATATACAGTTTTTTCAATGGATGGCACTGTAGCTCTCCGGTCTATCAATTTTTTTTTTTTTCGGAGAGCTACAGATCTGCAGCTACATAGAAATGTATAGGAAAATTCTTTGAAAATCTTCTTCTCAAGAACCACAGGGCCAGAAAAGCTGAAACTTATGTAAACTTATCCTGGGGTAGTGTAGATTCTAAATTGTTCAAATCATGACCCCCGGGGGTGTGTCAATGGGGAATCAAAGTTTTACATAGAAATATATAGGAAAAATCTTTGAAAATGTTCTTCTCAAGAACCACTGTCTCAGTAAAGCTGAAACATATGTGGAAGCATCTTAGGGTAGTGTAGATTCTAAATTGTTCAAATCATGACCCTCGGGGGTAGGGCGGGGCCACAATGGGGAATCAAAGTTTTACATAGAAATATATAGGAAAATTCTTTGAAAATCTTTTTCTCAAGAACCACTGGGCCAGTAAAGCTGAAACTTATGTGGAAGCATCCAGGGGTATAGCTAGATTGATCTAACTGTGTCTTGGTACAAGCCCTCACCACAGTTAGAATACGTCCCATATACTTGCAATGTAGCAAATCTTAGCGGATCTGCTCCGAAACGATTTTGAAGAATATAAAAGGAATTGCACTGGAAATAACTACCAAATTAATCAAAACAAACCTTTTTAAGATTGCTTATGCCTTTTATCCCAGAAAATAATCCATCTAAAGACGAAAATCCAATTAATTTTCTCAACGTTTTGCTCTCGCTTCAAATTTACCTGCCATGTTTACGTTCGGAACTCTCTAGATTGTTTGTAGTAAATGCACTGAGTTATAGTGAGTACGAGTTATCGCCCATGTTTCTTTTGCTACATAAAATTAACTATTCTATCGTTAAACTTTAACAATATCTCTTTTAACATGAACCTTTCTACCTGGGGTAGTGTAGATTTCAAATTGTCTAAATTGTGATCATTATATGGGGGTAGGGGGTCACAATATTTATTACAAGGGGGAAATCTAGTAAAGAACAGAATGGTCAAAGCTCCTCAGGCGAGCAATGTGGCCCATGGGCCTCTTGTTCTTAAGTTAAATAAATTTGACCATGCTCTTGTCTTATTTCATGAACCTTTCAACTGTTCTCAACTGTCCCTTAACCTTTGAATCCCACTTTGTTATTGTCACAGGAAAGAAGAAAATGTGATGGGATGGGTCGGGATTCCAACAGAATCTTAACTTAAAATTTGTACATTTTACTGCACTTTTGAATAAATACACAAGAATTAGATTTATTGTTCAATATTTATATTATTGCTATTTATAATCATAAAAGAATAACTTGTAATTTTTAGTGGTTAAGGAATTCTGCAGAATCAGTATGGAATTCATCAGAAAAGGGACGAATCCAAAGATTTTCCAAGGAGCTGCACGTAAGATCAGTTGTCAAGAAGAATCAATAAAAATTGAAAAGATTACTTTTTAAAATGCAATAAAGTCTTTTGAGTAATGTTACATTGCAGTGAAAATGTATACATTCACATTCTTTAGGCCTAGAAAAAAAATATGTTTGTTTCCGCTTTCAGGCTGAAAAAATATAGGGTCGGTAGGTAGGCAAATTTTTTTTTTTGGAAAAAAAAATTTTTTCTGCTTCTTTAATCAAAAAATCAAAACATGTATAGAATTAACATTAATGACAAAAGAAATGGTGTTTTTAAGCATTTCTGTGACTTAAACTGATAATAGAAAGGTGACCCAAAATTCTTTTGGTCTTGAAAAGCTTGCAAAGTTGGAGACTATAATTCCCTGGATGAAATCTTGCACATCATGGGACAAAAGCAATAAAAAAATATTTAGGGTCGGCACTATAAATTAGGGTCGGTCGGGAAAGCGGAAACAAACATATTTTTTTTCTAGGCCTTATTACATTTTCTTTTCCAAGACTTGGAAACATGGAATTCAAAATTTGGTTTAATTTCTTTTACTAAATCAAGATTTTGCAGACATAAAATCAGTAATATTTTTATGAATTCGGTAAATTAACACTGATTAATTGTTTTTCAGAGAAGCTGAACGTTGATGCAGACACTGTACAGCATGGAGTGGAAGGACTTATGTACTTATTGACAGAAAGCTCTAAGCTGATGGTCTGTGTGATCTGAGATCATTCTAATTACTGTAGATCACTTAATTTTCGTGACACCTTATTTTTGCGAGATAGTCATTAACTCTTGATTAGCGAGACAAAATTTTCACGAATTGTGGTTATTGCTATTTATAATCTTGATGAATGCTATTATACGCCAGGATTAAATTTTCGCGAGCACACTGTCTTGCGAAATTATGCGAAAATAAAGTTATCTCAAATAAAAAGTGATTTACAGTACTATGCCCCCCTTCAAAGAAGGGAGGGTATATTTCTTTGCTGTTAAAGAATTGTTAACATTACTGGATCAAATCAGATTATTGCTTTACATTCTGCAAGAATTCAGTCTACATAACAGCATACAATTTTAAATATAACTTGTCATATTTGTAGTCTACTGGATTGATCCGCATTTTCAGTGCATGATTTATAGTCATCCTAATTTATGTTTTATTGATTACAGCTGAATGAGATTGATTTCCAAGACTCCATTATGACACTTGGCTTTGAGGAGGACATCAGGCAGACACTTCTGGAGATCTACCTCCAGAATCGCCGAGAAATTAGAACCATTTTATCTGAGATGTCCATGGACCTACCCCACTACCACAACCTGGAGTGGAGGTTTGATGTACAGGTATGTGTTGCTGTTATAAAGCAATGACAACAAGAGCACAGCAAAGCAAAAATTCTCTTTGTAAAAGAGCATGTCGCCAAATCAAGATGGCTTTCGACACTGATCCTGATACAGATGACATTGCTTTTGTTTCGCAGAGGATTAATTCACACACACACACACACACATACATAATCACACACACACACACACACATACGTGTTTGGACTTCGATCTGGGGACCCTGCCAAAAAATCTTAAAATGGGGACTAAGCGATTTCGTGGCAGAATTGGTATTGTTTAACTTATTTTACCCCGTCAGTATCCTGGAATAAGTAAATAGACTGAGTCTTTGAGCTAGAATGATATATTCATAAATTTAGAAAATGGGGACCCGGAAGTGCCAATATGGGGACCTCTGTGTAAATGTAGGGGACCCAACTTCTCATAAGCTTACAGAATTGGGGACCTTTACTCAGTCCCTCATACACAAAGAACAGAAATGGGGACATATTTGTAAATTTAAGTTTTGAAGATGGTTGGACATGTTTATTTATTTATTTATTCCGGCGCGGATTCAGGGATTTCTCAATGTGGGAAAGGGTTATCCTTAGCCCAAAAATTTTCAATCCAGAAATTCCTTAATGAGCAATAACAAATGAAAATAAAAAAGAAAAAAAAACATGTTATATCATTTCCCAAACGTGTAAAAATAATCTATTTCTATGCGCTGTTGGTAGGGTATACGTTTTTTTTTTTTAAGGAATGAGGTGGATTTGTTCAAAAGACATTTCTTTGCTTCACTATATATACATAAGGAAACGGCATCTTAAATTTACCCTTTACGATTTATTTCGGCCCCACAGCGCCACTACTTTGTTATACCTGCCAACATCCCTTCTTCCCCGTTTACGCAAAATAACGGATTTAGTCCAGGAATCAGTTTTATAACTTATAGCCAAAATTTCCCTGACTATACATGTATGACCATGGAATTATTTTATTATATGTATATAAAAAAATCTCAGTGACTCGATAAACCATTTATAGCGAAGCCCTGTAAGCCCATGGATTTCCAGGTTTTTACGTCAGAAAATTAACTCGAAATATTTTTTTTTATCTTTATACAATCGTAGTTCTACTAAATATTAACAAAAAAAATGCTGAGTTTTGACAAAACTTACAACTACACTAAATCCTCTTTTAACAAAGCATTTCTTGTTTTCATGAATTAAGACAATACATACATCATTTTCAACAGTGAAATTCTTGCAATATATTTCGTCCATTGAATATAAGTGATATTTTTTTCACATGCAGTGTGAAAATAATAATAAGAAATGCAAAGTACTTAGTACTACATGAAAGAACGTGTTTGCTTTAATGTGATCAATTTTAAATGATATTCCTCATATCAAACATTCAAAATCACATATGTGTAAAGTTGGCTTATTTTTCAAATATGTTTTACTTATTGTAGCAGCTTTATATAAGTATACATGTATTCTTCACACATTATTTGACAGACTTTGCCTCAAAATAGACAAATAATACAACACTTAAGCTGTAAGCTTAAAGATATGTGTGCCTTGTTAAGCAGTATTTTTGCACAGCTGAAACCGAACAAAAATTTCTGAATTATGATAAGCTATCAAAAATGAAGCATTCTTGAAAATTCGACGAAATATTATTCGGTATTAACAAAGTACTGGTCCGGAAAAGAACACGATATCCTCGTGCATATTTATAAAGGACTGACCGTTTATCCTGGATCTGCGCATGTGCGCGGGAAAAGCATCGCGAGAATAATCAGGTCGAGGAAAATATTTTTGTGACGTCTGATCAGTGAGGAACCAATATGACTGACAAATATACCAATCAGCTCAATGAGTTGCATTTAATGCATTTATGGGTTACTACATAAAATACTACATGTGCTTTTCGAAAAGGCTAGTTTTTTAAATCGCTCTCGGAAAGACTTGATGCATTTTCCCAAGCATTTACATGCTTAATACATGCATTATGTACATTTATTATCTACTAATCCCATGCTCATATTTGCCTACAAATGATTAACAATGATAAAGATTGAAGTTTACCCCACTTCATTGTACAGGTCCGTTTGTTTCGAGTTTCACCGTGCTGTACTGCTAGTGAAAAGACAATTGCACGTGATTATTCCTCGGTACAAAAAGCAACCAACTCTGAGGTGTGCTCACGTATTAACAATCCCTAACTCACGTGTTTGTAGTAAAAACGTAGTAGACCATTATGCTTTTCGGTTCATTCACGAGATTGGACCATTGTTTGCTGTGAGCATGCGAAACCACGTGATCATGAATATTTCAATAAGAGGCGGTTTATTATCCGTCTCGGAGAGAAAATAATTTTTACATAATAATATTTCATAACTTTTAAAAGTGATGGAGTGGAATAGTCTTATTTGCAGAAAGTATATAACTTATACCGTTACGACTTGATGAGCCACCACCTAAACATTTATTTCTTTTAAAATAAAACACTAATACGGCATATATCTCTTTAACTAACAATCCATAACAAACAGTCATACACAAATGTGTATGTGATCAATGAAGAACTGCAATGGTTACATTATGTAACTATACGTTACATGCTATGCATTGTACCCCTATTAAAGACATTAAAAACCACCCAGAAAAAAAAACATAGACGAGTAACTATGGAAAACGTGTGCACGTCGCTATGTATAAATAATGCCTCAAGGGAGAATGCCGCACATGCATTCGGAGCAGTACATGGTATGCAGAAACACCATATATGTACATGTATAATAAAGCAAAATCAAACAATATGACAATATTGTTGTTAATATTATTTATAGATACGTATTCATTTGAATATAAATATAAAAAAAAAAACACGTGTGTGTGTTCTGCGGAGCACTGGCTTGGAATGATCCAACACCTCACAAAATAACGCCTTCTCATTGGTCTTCCTTTGGCCACGCCTACCATAAACAGGCATTTCCAATAAAATACGTTTCTATCATACAATGCTTTCCCGCTATTCTACGAAACGCGGGAAAACTCTATCATATTATCGCAAAATTGCGTTGAAAAGTTCAATATAAATAGGGACCTGACCTATCCGGCCGGGCTTGTTTTTTTTTTCTTTACAGAAAGCTTGTCGATTTCCGTTCCGATTTGTGACATTAGGCTGAATACATATATGTTACAATTTGTTTTTCATAAATCTTTATTTCACTTTCATTATTATTCTGAACTTTTTATCTCCAAACGTAATACATGTACTAGAAACTGATATTTTTCTTTACTACTCATTGTACTTTGTGGTAATGTCTACTGTTTATATGAAATGCTATTCTTTTGTCTAGTCTATTTATTTTACAACACATTTCCGTGGATATAATAAAAACATGCCATTAATGTGAGCAAATTACATAGGCCTAAATGAAATCCAAGGGAGTACAATACTGATAGTGATAGATGTAGCCCTACTTTTTCAAAATTAGAACATTGACTTAGACCAAAAGTACATTTAGCTTATTCTAAATATATTAAGCTCAAATAATTCAAGCAATACGTAACACACTACATGTAACCCAGACAAGCACCAGTAGCACAAATGGAATAAAAGCAATGTGATTAAATTCTAAGGAATACATACAATTGAAATTCATCGCCGCTCAATGCTGCAGAGAATACTTGTATCGAGTAACACAGAGTGAGTTGTTCTTGTCCTCGGAGAAAGTGAGCTTTTTTCTTAGGTTTGTTCCATCTGACTGACAACTGTACATTGGATTGTTACGAATTGATCTTTTTTTAGTGTTTCTTATATCAAGATAATGGGCATGCATAAGGGATAGCATCGTCTCAAACCACGGCCAAAATGTACGATCCTCTCCCATTCTGGAGAGAGCTATATGCAGACTCCGGACCTTGGCTTGAGACGATGAAGGGATACTAGATGATTGAAGGAAAATATACAAGCCTGTAAAAATAATTTAAAATTATCTTTAAAAAGGCGAAAATTTAAAGCTATAAAGAGTGGAACTAGGAGGATTCGAACTCCCGACTTTAAAAAGAAAGTTCCCAAGGTATAAAAGTCAGCGCATATATATCAACTGAGCTATACTGACTATTAGATTGTACATGTATGGTCTAAATTTGAAGAAGTCTTAAATTATTTCTTACATCCAAACCTTTCAAAATATTATAATTTTATTAAGGGAAAGTCTGCCCTGAAGGACTCCTAGACCAAAATTCATGCACAAATCTACTAACGGACAAAATGGTGTTCGGCCAACTATGGGGGCTTATTGTAAAATAAAACTACAAATTTGAAAATTTTAGATATACATATGGTAAAAAACAACAAATAAAGATTGATTTTGAAATGTCACTTTTCCCGGAAAACTGTTCTCTCCTATAGGTCAAATCTTTTGTCACAGTGAATACACCCTTTACTGACGAAAGAGAATTTATTATGGACTACAGAAAAACCAAACAAAATTTTACAAACAGAAAATTCAATGTTCTAGTAGTTGCTACAGAATTTATTTCACAGTTAAGACAGGTTTTTACGGCCAGTTGAGGCAAGAGAAAGAAATATTTTTCATTGCGTTTAAACTCAATAATTATTGCGTTTAATCGCAAAAATCATTGCGTTTAAACGCATTAAAAATATTTCTTTCTCTGAACTGGCCTCAATGGGCTTTCGTAGGTTTTTCATAAATGCAAAAAAAAAAAAATCTATATACTGGTATATTCACTAAACTTATGAATATTTTTCATTGAAAATGCTGCTACATTTTAAAATTCATTGTTTAAAATTATAGTGCTAGTACAACGCAGTTAATTTAGGTGATTATTAGGGGAATTAGTAAAAAGCATCGTTTATTATTTGCTTTTGCTTTGAATGGACACAGTTATATCTGAAATTCGATCGTCATTGATATTCTAATATTTCCATTTTTCTCTGTAATATCTGTTTGAAAGTTGGGGGAGATTATTTCTTGATAATTCTGCCGGAATGTAAATTAGGCAGGTCGATAGGTCAGC